AAATCAAAACATTCTGGACTTGGCGAATGGTTTCATGAGCGTTTCTCTTATTGGAAGAAAAAAAATGAGACTTGTAAGCACATATACTTTGAGCAAGCTCAATGAGTGAGTTGAGAAGCGTGGATGGAGAGATGGACTCACACGGATGAACCGCCGGAAATGTCAGAACCCGGCGACCCGACACATTAACTTGATGGATCATCTAACAAAAGACAAATAAAAGAGAAGAGAAAACAAAAGGGAAAAAGTTTGATTTTGACTTTTTGTGTTTCTTGATTTGGATTGTTTGATGAAGGGTCGTTAAGTTAGTTCCATATATATAAGTAGTGAACTGACGGGACACGTGTATGAACTGTAATCGCTGCTATGGGGTGCTTTAGATCTAACGCAGGGTTTGAGTTATCTGACACGTGGAGGCATCGAGAGATGGGGGGAGAGGCGGCTTCCTAAGTACTTCCGAATAGTATATCATTCAATGAGGAAGGGACACGTGTCCGGGAAGTATGGGAGAGGTACGTGGTATTGAAGGTACGTGAAAATGGGTAGCCGACAAATACCGACTGATAACATGTATTTTTATAATTTTTTAGTGTGAAAATATTACGTGGAATTTATTAAAATGTTAAATTATTATCAAATTCATCATTATACACGTCTTTGCAAGTGGGCGAATCATTTATGAGAGTCAAACTTCGACATAGATAGAAGAAGAATACTGAAATGGTCATCGTCGTCCACCTCCGATACATTTTCATTTAGGAAAATTAACATTGTATTAGATTGTCTTTTAAAGAGTATAGATATCTTTTTCTCTCTCTCCTTTTTTTTTTTTTTTAATTGGTGAAATGAGAATAACGATGAAATAAGAGTATAAACATGTTTCTAATTAACAACATATTTGTCATTATATGGGTCAGCAAAAAATGAGCCAGGGCACCTATATTAAATAAATGATCCGTAAATTGTATTATGATGTTCATCGATAGTTATGTTTAGTGTTAGAGGAGGATATCAATATTTACCACATCAAATTGGAGTGTCAATAGACGTGTTAAGATGGGTTAATGACTCAATTTGTGTGGTGGGAGAAATCATATCTTCTATAATGATAGAGATATATGTATTTGTCCAAAATATTGAAGATAGAAAGAAATTGAATGAAGAGGCGTGCATGGGTTTGGGACGTTTTTGTTTGAATTATGCGTTGTTGACAAGTCAATTGTGGGATTTATATTTAATTCAATTGGGCCGTGCATGAAGATAAGGATTAACGGACGTACGTATCCGTTGAATTAACAAGTTTGGTGTTAAAGCAATCCAAACTCATTAAAGCCAATTTAATTAAATAAATCGGATGGGTTATCTTATATAGTAAATGCTTAAAGTAAAGCTGCATCATATTATCAGTCTGATTCATGTGATCCAATGTATANCTTTTTTTTTTTTTTTTAATTGGTGAAATGAGAATAACGATGAAATAAGAGTATAAACATGTTTCTAATTAACAACATATTTGTCATTATATGGGTCAGCAAAAAATGAGCCAGGGCACTTATATTAAATTAATGATCCGTAAATTATATTATGATGTTCATCGATAGTTATGTTTAGTGTCAAAGGAGGATATCAATATTTACCACATCAAATTGGAGTGTCAATAGACGTGTTAAGATAAATTAATGACTCAATTTGTGTGGTGGGAGAAATCATATTTTCTATAATGATAGAGATATATGTATTTGTATTTTGAGAGAGTCTGGAGATTATCTTCAACAACCATGCAGAGTTTTAGAGGGTGAGTTGAAAACTGAAGTATGAAAGTGAGAAGGCCAAAATATTGAAGATAGAAAGAAATTGAATGAAGAGGCGTGCAGACGTTTGGCTTTTGTTTTGTTTGAATGGACATCTTGTTTGAATTTGATAAGTCAATTGTGGGATTTATATTTAATTCAAGACTAAACGACATATTCCCACCCAAGGTTGAGCCAAATACTTAGCTAATACGCGTGGTTTCATTTATTCCAAATACCCACCCTTAAATTAACACCATTTTCTTTATTTTAACAGTAAAGGGGCAAATTGTCTTTCTCTTTTTTTCTTTTTTTTTCCTCTTCCCTTCCCATTTCTTTCCCCAGTACGCCTCCTCCTCCCATCTTCTTCCTTTTCCCTTTCTCACTTTCTTCCTTATCTCTGCCTCCTCCTCCATCTTCTTCTTTTTCCCTCTACACCTCCTCCTCCCCGGCGCCTCACCATCCCAACCCACTATCCCCCCGACCACCTTGACTCCCCTTTTTGCCGTCACCCTTCACCTCAACTGTCGCAATCCGACAGCCCCATCACCAAAAATCTTAATCAAGCCCACCATTAAACTCATCAAAGAGCCCTCTCTAATAACCGCATGCTTTCCGTCCACGATTTCTCACCTTTCAACACCGATTTAAGCCCCCTCTCCCTAGGGTTTCTATTTTGTTTTTTGTTTTTGCTTTTGTTTTTTGTTTTTTGTTTTATGTTTTTTTGTTTTTCTTATTGAAATGGCGTGATTTTTGGTGGTTGCTATTGGGTTTGGAATGGGGTGATTTGGCTGACTGTGGTGGTGGTTTGGACGCTGTGGTGGTTTTCGGATGGGGTGGTTTGGAATAGGATGTGGTGGTGGTGGTGGTTTTGCCGGCTGTGGGATTTGGAATGGGGTATAGTTTGGATGGCTATGGTAGTGGTTTGGAATGGGTTGTGGTGGTTGTTTGGCTGGCTCGGGTGGTGCCGTGGTGGTTTGAAATGGGATGAAGGGCAGTTTGGTAATAGTATCTGTTAGAACCCAACAGTCACTAACTGTGTGTTAATCTAAGGGTAGGTATTTGGAACAAATGAAACCAGTAGTATTCATTTTAGCTAAACCTTGTGGGAATATGTCGTTTACTCTTGATTCAATTAAGTTGCTGAATTGGGCCGTGCATGAAGATAAGGATTAACGAACGTACGTATCCGTTGAATTAATAAGTTTGGTAAACTTGCCCTTGTGTTAAAGCAATCCAAACTCATTAAAGCCAATTTAATTAAATAAATCGGATGGGTTATCTTATAACTTATATACAGTGTATAGTAAATGCTTAAAGTAAAGCTGCATCATATAATCAGTCTGATTCATGTGATCCCATGTATACTAAAAAGTTTGCACTCACATGCAATTTTTAATTACTATATGTTAAGAACATTTCTAATAGTGTTATTCATTTTAAATAATATATTTTACATAAATAAATAGTATCTTTATTAATTTCTAAATATAAAGAACAAAATTTGTATTCAAATCCAATGAACTCTTTAAATTAGACTTAATAATAGGAGAGAGAATAATAATAAAATACATAAAAACTTATATTTATTAAATAAAATTGGGATAAATAGATATAGAGAGTCAAACTCTCCTTTAATTTAATTTTAAGAATAAATAGTCTATTGGACTCTTATTTTTATGAACAAACTCTTTATAACAAAAAGTTGGGTCATATAAAATATTTTGAAGATGAGCACTTCAAATGACTCTTTATATAACCCAAACTCTTTTTTATAGTTTACCATGAAAACAAGAATACAACATACTCTTTATCTTTAAAATAAATTAGAGTGAGTTTGACTCTCCACATTTAGAGAGTTAAATTTCACTCTCTATCCTAATTTTAATTAATGAACTATAAATTTCAATGTATTTATTTATTAATTATCTCTCTCATTAAGTTTTTTTCTTAAAAATAAAGAATATCTTTATTAAATTTAAAAAATTTTTAGATTTGAATAAAAATTATATTTTTATATTTAAAATTAATAAAGATGTTCTTGATTTAAACGAATGATACTTAAAAAAAAAAAAAAAAAAAAAGGAAAATGGGAGATACTCCAAACAGACTAAGACTCTTTCTTCTCACTTAATTGAGTTTTTTTGACGTGTATTATTGATGGTAGATCTGACATTGATTTAAAAAAGGAAGCACTTTGTAATAGTGGAAACTCATAGTTGAATTGAATTCACGAAAACAAAACAGAAACTCCAATAAACAAGTTGGGCACCCAAAACAAACAGAACCGACATTATATCAAATGCTCATATTCCATAAATCTCCTGCATCCGTCATATCAAATGCCAGCTATAACCCTGCTGGCAAAACTCTGCTCATTATTGATTGACTTTACACACACCAACAAATTAATTATATATATAATATATAATAACCAGACATTTCTCAGAACCACCTCAATTGAAATTAATTGCAATATTTGATTATAGCACTTAACAAACTAACAAGCTCCCATAAACCCTCAACATTATTACAAAGAAATATATATATATTAAAAAGGTTCATTTTTGAGGTATAATATCATAATAATACATACATGGACTGAGAAGCAAGTGGTTAATAATAACAATAATATTATACTTATTAACGATCTTACTAATGTGTGTAAATATAAAACATAATACGGATGTCATATATAATTTTAACAAAGATAGATAAGACGGTTAGTAAGTTTGTGAGTAAGTATAACATTATTTTAATAATAATCTTATATATATATTAAATTAAATTGATAGGAAAAGGAAAGAGAAAGAAAATGGTAATAAAGCTGTGCATGCACTGGCATGCAACCAAGGGGCAAGGAGAATCAATCACAGTAAAAAAACAAGTTATTTATTAACCTCTTGGCCCATTTGAGAATCTGTACCATACTACCATCCACACTTCCATTTAGTCGACGACATTTATCATTAAAATTGCATCAAGTAAATGTCAGTTTCATGGTCCCAACTTTTGGACAACCCCACGAGCTTTGTTTAGCCTATCAAAATCATCCCCACATGAACTCTATATCACTGTCTTTCAAGATCCCAGACTATACACCAAAAGTGTTACTAGGAAATAGATGGCCAGCTATTTACAACCCAGCAAGATTGCGATCTCAATCTCTCTCTCTCTCTGTGTATGTATATATATAAACTTATGTGGCCCATCCATCAAATGAGCCTTTGATGAATCATAATATGGCACTTTTCCAAAACAATTTTTTTATTTTTGGGCTCTTTTTTTTTTGCATAACAACACTGGTTTGTTCAAACACTGCTAGCAGGCATTACACGCCTCCCACTGTTGCTCCCTTAACCGATCTTTTTACTCCACTCTCGGTTGATCAGGGCTTCTCTGCATTTTTTGGAGGACCAAATATCAAGATCATCAACAATGGCTCCATGGCCTCTATCGCTCTTGACAAATCCTCAGGTGATCAATTGGCTTTCTTTGACTAATGAACTAAGCATCATCAAATTTATTTAATTTAATTTCATTCTCATTTTCTTTAGGCTCCGGACTGATCTCCCGGAACGATTTTCACTATGGATTCTTCAGTGCCGCGATAAAATTGCCGGCTGGTATCTCCTCAGGAGTTGTACTTGCCTTCTATGTAAGTTGTTTTTAGTTGTTTCAACATCTAGAATTTGCTGAAAATTAATCAGATATCTATATATACATTGCAGCTGTCTAATGCAGATAAGTATCCTCATAATCATGATGAGATTGATATTGAACTTCTTGGTCACGATAAGAGAAACAACTGGGTTCTGCAAACAAATATTTACGCTAATGGAGGTGTTAGTACAGGAAGAGAAGAGAAATTCTATTTTTGGTTCGACCCAACGGCGCAACACCATTATTATAGCATTATCTGGAACACTCATCATGTAGTGTAAGTTTACAGTAACTTTCTTAAGTGAATTGTATTGTTGAAACATTTACAAAAAATATATACGGTAAAAGCATATACTTGAATGAAAATATTGCAGGTTTCTGGTGGACAGTATACCAGTAAGAGAATTCCCCAACAGGGGCGCCTTCTCTTCTGTGTACCCTTCAAAGCCAATGTCAGTTTACGTGACAATATGGGACGGATCAGATTGGGCGACTCATGGAGGAAAATACCCGATTAATTATAAGTATGCGCCGTTTGTTGCTTCATTGGCGGAAATGGAAATGAGTGGCTGCATGTCGAATGAAACGGTTCTCCCAAATTCTATTTCGTGTTCGAAGGCTAGTCATTCAAGTAGTTCAAGGTCCGACCCGGTTTATGGACAAGAATTTATCTCGCTATCGAAGCAACAAATTACAGCATTGGATTGGGCAAGAAGCAAGCATATGTTTTACTCGTATTGTAAGGATACATCCAGGTTCAAAGTCATGCCATCAGAGTGCAAATAAACTGAGAGAAAGACTTCACTTTTTCATTTTTAATTTCATATACTTAGATTTTTCCTTCTTGCAAGGAGAAAATGAAACCTATTAAACGATTTTATTGTAATATTGTATCATGTGAAATGTTAATAAACCTTGTATAAGAATTTATCTTAATATTTATTTTAGAGTAAATGAATTTGTTGATACGTGATTTTGACACCAATGACCTCACACATGTAAAGTTTTAAGTTGGCCTTAGAAATTACACGTCATTAATTTGTGAGAGTTGATTATGGTGCTGAGATGCTATATGTTTGAAGAAACATAAATAAAAGATTGACAAAAGAGATTTTTACAGTGGTTTGGATGCTTAAAACGAATTCTACATTCACTGTTATTTTATTATTCTTTAACTATTTTTCTAATATTACCTGTAAGGCGTACAAAAATGGAGAAATGCTTTGTTTACTGAGAAAAAATAAGCTCTCTTATGTCCCGCCTTCAGCCTCGTCTTTCATGAAGAGATGTGTCCATTTATACCTTTGAGGTCAATGTAATGAGTTCTTTTGTAAGTTGTCTTGACACGTGTGGACTACTCCTTAATCTTCATCTCAAAATGGGATATGATTGAACAAAATATCTCTTAGGTTGGTTTGGTCTTGACAGCTAAGGTTATTTTGCCTTTGAGTACTTGTTAAGCTCTAATTGGTGGTGCTGACATTAGCTTATGTCAGCCTTGATTTTTTAAGCATAACAGAAGCTCTCCAATTCTTAAGATTCAAGGAATTGGATCTTAAAAACTTCATGATTATGTCGCGACTGGACCTGTCTTCAGAGATGTTTACTCTTCGAGTTGCGAACTAGGACTGCAATTTGAGAACTTGGAGCGATTCGAAGCTGATCATGATCTGATAACTGACTAGTAGATGAATTCCTGGAGAGAGTTGACGTCAGAAGCCCAAACGCACGGTTCAAAGGTCTTAAATGAACATGTCAACTTAAAACAACCATAAATTTTTATCTGGAAGGAGTTTTGGAGCCCGTAAGATATCCACGAAAAGCTCGGGAACCTGGTTGAGGCCATTTTTAGGGCCAAAATCCATCGTTTTGGCATGTTTCAAGGCTATTTTGAGTTTTCTATGTGTTTTTTCTAACGCTGGCAGTTGGCCGTGATATGAGAACTGCGAACTGATCGCGATCTAAGAGTTGAGAACATGATCTGAGGTTGTTCGCAATCTCAAAGCTGAGAGTTAATCGCAATTTGAGAGCTAGGGGTTGATCGCGATATGATAGGGGCTCGATCTGAGAGTTTGAGGAGTGCAATCTGAACAATCCAAAGTGTGCGACCTCAAGATGAGGAGCTTCATCTGAAGTGCGCGATTTGAGAGTTTAAGGAGCTCGATATGTGCACGCAATCTAAGCGATTTGAACGATCTAATGCACACGATCTCAAGCAAATGAGCGAGCTTATGAGCTCAATCAGAGAGCATAAGGAGCTCGATCAAAAAGCATAAGGAGCTCGATCAGAGAGTGTAAGGAGCTCGATCAAAGAGCGTAAAGAGTTCGGTCAGAAAGCGCAAAGCTTGATCTAAGAACACAAGAAGTTCGATTAGAAAGCACGAAGCTTGATTTGAGAACACAAGGAGTTCAATCAGAAAGCGCGAAGCTTGATTTGAAAACACAAGGAGTTTGATCAGAAAGCACGGAGCTTGATCTGAGAACACAAGAAGTTCGATTAGAAAGTACAGAGCTTGATCTGAGAACACGAGGAGTTCGATCAGAAAGCACGAAGCTTGATCTGAGAACACGAGGATTTTGATCAGAAAGCGTGAAGCTTGATCTGAGAACACGAGGAGTTCGATCAGAAAGTGCGAAGCTTAATCTGAGAACACCAGGAATTTAATCAGAAAATGTGGAGCTTGATCTGAGAACACAAGGAGTTCGAACATAAAACGCGAAGCTAGATCTGAGAACACAAGAAGTTCGATCAAAAAGCGCGGAGCTTGATCTGAGAACACGAGGTTAGTGATCTGAGTGCTTGGAAGCGCGATCTGGATGCTTAAAAGCACGATTTGGTCGCTTGAAAGTGCGATCTGAATGCATGATTTCAACGATCTTGAACTTGTGATCTCAACGATCTTCAACACGTGATCTCAACGATCTTCAACACATGATCTCAACGATCTTGAATGCATGATCTCAAGAGCTTAGGAGCTAGAGAGCTACAGAGCTTAGGAGCTCATTCTGATCTCAAAGATTGAGCGCGCAATCTGAGTGATCTGGCAGCGCGATTTAAATTTAAAGATTAGAGTGATCTAAGCAATCTAACCACGTGATTTAAGAGTTCTGATGCGCGTGATCTAAGAGATCTATGCGCACAATCTGAAGCTGAAGATTAGAGTGATCTGGCCAGGCGATCTAAGAGCTCCGTTGCATGTGATCTGGACGATCTGATGCGTGCGATATGAGAGATCTGATGCACGCGATCTAAAGCTGAGGATCAGAGCGATCTGAGTGATCTAGCCACGCGATCTGAAGTTGAAGATCAGAGCGATCTGGCCACGCAATTTGAAGCTAAAGATCAGAGTGATCTGAGCATGCGATCTGGGCAATCTGGCCATGCGATCTAAAGCTAAAGATCAAAGTGATCTAGCCACATGATCTGAATCTGAAGATCATAGTGATCTGAGCATACGATTTGAGCAATCTGACTATGTGATCTAAGAGCTTTGATGCACATGATCTAGGCGATCTGAGCGCGCAATCTGAGAGATCTGACGCGTGCGATTTGAGTTATCTGATCAAGAACATACTTCAGTTTTTTGACGATAACTTGAGCTGTAGACCTCGGATTTGGATGATTCTTAGACCATTAGAAAGCTAACTCAAAGGGCTACAATTATTATGTTTGTGGCTTCTCCAGATTCATACTTCATCCTACTCAGATTTCCACATTAGATAATGTGAAGATTTTGAGGCTTACTAGAAAAACATGGAGAGCTAGTGTGAATCATGCCCTCCTTCTAACACCAAACTGTTGATGCATGATTTTGACACCAATGACCTTGAACATGTAAAGTGCTAAGCTGACTTTAGAAATTACACGTGATTAATTTGTGAGAGTTGATTATGGTGCTGAAATGATATATGTTTGAAGAAACATAAATAAAATATTGATAAGATGCATTTTTATAGTGGTTTGGATGCTTAAAGCGAGTCCTACATCCACTGTTATTTTATTATTCTCTGACTACTTTTTTGATATTGCCTGTAATGCGTACAAAAATGGAGAAATATATTATTTACAGAGAAAAAATAAGCTCTCTTATGTCCAACCTTTAGCCTTGTCATTCATGAAGAGATATTCCCATTTATACCTTTGAGGTCAATGCAATGAGTGTTTTTGCAAGTTACCTTGACACGTGGGAGCCACTCCTTAATCTTTATCTCCAAATGGGATAGGATTGATATAAAATATCTCTTAGGTCGATTTGGTCTTGACAGCTAAGGTTATTTTGCCTTTAAGTGCTTCTTAAGCTCTAATTGGTGGTTCTAACATCAGCTTATATCAGCCTTGATTTTTTAAGCATAATAGATTAATCCTATATGATAAAATAATAAAAATCTTTCTTTAGGTTTCATAAATAATAAAGATTTCCATGTCGTTAAGTTTTAGTCTTTTAGGGGGGCGTTTGAATCATATATTGTTTTATTATAGGGGGATGTTATATTAACGGAAAGATAAATGGGTGAGTATGTGTTTTGTTGGTTCGAATAAATTCATGAATAATATTTTTGGTTGGGAGGATAAATGGGTGAGTATGTTATATAGAATATAGATTACTAAATCGCCCTCTTTTTTAAATAATAATATAATATTATTTTTTGAATCATTTATTTTAACCTCCTACATTTGAAATTTATCTAAAACACCTCAGTCATATAAAACTTTAATTTGTAGGAAAATCACCTCACCCACCCCAAGCCACTGTCGGCAGCCAGCCACCACCACCAGCCGCTATCGACAGAATGGGCATGACTGGTTGTATATGGTCGACCGTGTGCCGACAAAGCCATTTCCGACTATGGATCAGAAATCCATGGCCATTTGACAACCATAGAAAAGACCAAATCTGGCCGAAAAGGCCTTACCGGTGCTCGACTGGCCGATCTCGCTGGCCGTGCACCATTACAGTGACTGACACCAGTGGCCCATGGTGGTAAGCAATGGCCAACGGTGGTTTTGGGTGGCTAGGGGTATTTTGTTAACTTTTCAACTTTTTTTTATGGCTGGGGTGTTTTAGCTAATTTCTCAAATGTAGGGGGGATGTAATTGTTATCTGGTAGACATTTGAGGGCAATTGTGTTTGAAATAGTATTTAATTAAGGGCAAAATAGGTATAAAAATCAAATTACTCGGTAATCTTTTAATCCTAGGGATGGGGGAGGGTATCAGATTACCCCCACATTACTAACAGTAAACACTATTTGCAATAAAAAAATTATCATAGTATTTTATTACTTGCAAACCAAACACTGGAATTTTGCAAAATAAACGAAGATTTCTTCTATTATCTTATATGCCCCTGATCCAAACGCACCCTAGGTGTTAAAATAAGAGTAAACGACTTTTGGAATCGGCTTTGGGTAGTAACGAAATATTAACTTAGGGTGAGAAAGTGTCATTAAGGCAAAACTTGGGTGGGAAAAAGTCGTTTACTCGTTAAATAAATGGTCGAATAAAAATTTAGCAATATTCATTAGTGTACAATTTAACGACATAAAGATTTTTATTATTTCATAAATCTTATCACAGCTCAAGGTTTATGCTTTAATTTATTGTTTTATATAAAACTTAATTATAAGAGTTAATGACATCTTCCCACCGGAAAAATTGCCCATTGACAAATTCATACCCACCTGGAGCATAAATTCTGTTAATAGTTCCGTTAAAAACATATATTTTTATTTTAAAGACGAAAATGCCCTTGATTGTTTTACTAAAAATATTTCTATTTTTGTGTTCGCGCCTCAACCAATCGCAGGCCACCACTAGATTTGTGTTTGCACAACTGGTTGGGGCAAATGGTTGAACAGTTAGTGGGCGTTGTGCAAGGGGCAGGTGAGGTGATGAGCAAATGCGGTGGTAGGCGGTGCTATCACAGACGTCGATAGGCGAGTTGCTAGAAGGTGCGGTTACATGGGTTTTAAAGAGGAGGCACCAATGATGCCAAGAGTGGTGGCGGGGGTAGTTTTGGCTATCAGAATCGATCGGAATTTGGCTAAGAAATCTGAAGCCCTAACGTAACAACAACCGACGATCGGTGGGAGTAGACAAGCGAGGACCTTGGGGATTTTGGTCAATGGAGGGTGGGGATGTTAGTGGTGGGATCGGGGAAGGCCAACGGCAACGGGAACAACCCAAATCGAGCCTGAGTTGGTCAATGGAGGGTGGGGAATCAATGCAGAGCACACCTTCATCACCCCATTCCCCATATTGCAATTTGAGATTTTGATTTCTTGTGCAAATTATCAACTGACCATTTTACCCTTACTTACAAATGACTTATGATCATACTACCGTTTATCACAATGAAAATTGTTAATAGATTTCTGCTCTGAGTAGTAAAAGGGTATTTAAAAGATGGATGGGTATGAATTTGTCAAATGGCCATTTTTTGGGTGGGAAGATGTCGTTAACTCTAATTATAATTAAAAGATTTTATAATTAGAGAATTAAGGGGAGATTGTGACATCAAGGAATAGGGACGATCCAAGTAAAGATATAAGGTGAGAGACAGCTGTAGCTATAAATGGCACAGTTGGATAGTTGTTAAAGAAGTGGTACAAGCCTGCGTTAGCTCGAAACTGCGAAGAACCTTCCTTTTAATTGCTGTCAACTATTGCCAATTTTTGTGTAATATTTCAAATTTATTGTAAGAATTCTGGTAAGGCAAAACACTTGACATACTTTTAAAAAATGTTTTATTAATTAAGTATTACTGCATATAAAAAATATTTATTTTGTATATTCCTATCAATTACAAATCTTTAAAAACTCAAATTAGAAGAGAATCCTAATTTAAATTATTTACAAACTAATGAAATAATTACTTAAAAAAAAAAAAATTCGGGGATCAAATTGAAATCTATCCTATTTCCTTTTATCAAGTTTGTTTCCACTTTTATCATTTTTACTCTAGCAGAGATAACCACTCTTGGGTTCGAGTAAAAAAGTTTTAATTAAGGAAATTTTAATAATTAATTTCTAAGAATAATATGGAGAATAGTTAAAACAAAAATTAAAAATATTCAATGTAGTCACTTTAGCGCTAAAACAGCTATAGTGACGGCGTGAAAGTTGCGGAGGGATTGAAATGGAAAATAAAATGGATGAAAGGTTTTATTTACTAAACCAATTAAAAAATGCGAGATTTTAATTTATATATAAAAAAAAAAATGTCTTTTAAATAGTTTTCCCTAAACTAATGTATTGAAATTGTCTTGTCATTACCTTTTTATTATAGTATTATTCATGTGGGGATTTATAAAATTGATTTTTTTTTAATTAACTTTTTGATTCATTTTGTGTAAATGTTAAAGAGTTATATAAAAAAAGTGAGTAGCAATGGCATATTTCTATTATATTCCATTAAGACAACTCTTCTTCTATCTTCTTTCTTTCTATCGGGCACTCTCTAGAAATTCAAATATCACTCTTACAAACTATTATTAGGAGATTTATGCAATATATTAATCCCATGTATTAACTTTCAATCAAATAAGCAAAGCAATATATTTTCATCAGCATAACCACCATAATTATTATTATTATGCAAAGGAACCTAAATTTCTCAAAGTTCTATTTATTCTTGGCTTTGGAGAAGAAGAAGAAGAAGAGGCATGAGAAAGGTTTAAATCCATGCTGGATTCTTGAGGGGAGTAACAACAGCCTTCACTTGCAAGTAACTGTTTAGACCATAAATACCCTTTTCTCTTCCTTGTCCGCTCATCTTGTATCCACCAAAAGGAATTGCAGCATCAAACACATCAAAGCAGTTTACCCATACAGTTCCAGCTCGCAATGCACGCGTCAAGGTGTTGGCAGTGTCTATGTTCTGGGTGAACACCCCTGCAGCCAATCCATAGCGGGTTGTGTTTGCCCTTCGGACAACGTCACCAAGGTCCCTGCAGCCACCATGAATAGCATTAATATCTGTAATGCAGAAATCCCTGATAATCATAATAACAGCATTGAGGAGGTTCATTGCTCACTTGAATTTCAAGATGGATTGCACTGGACCAAATATCTCCTCTTTCGCTATCAACATGTCATCCTATTATTAACAGTAGTCATTAGTTATTAACTCCATCACATATTTTAAATTTCTTGGTTAACCGGTTACTAGGTAATGTAAATGAAATACCTGAACATTTGAGAAAACAGTAGGCTGAACATAGTAGCCCGTGCTGCCAAATCTCTCACCCCCAGTTTCAAGGGTTGCTCCGCTATCAACACCTAATCTTATGTATCTCAGGATCTTCTCAAATTGTTCTGTATCAATCTGATTGAGCAGACTGGTATCAGCGCCTCCAATTACATCATGTTTAAAAATAAAATAACAATTGCAACTTCTGCAATTTAAGAATTTTCTCACTAATTTAAATATTTTATCTCTCTAGAAAAAAAAAATTATGGTTTTGTATCAATTGCAAATTGTAATAACACTGTCAGCAGTCATGCATTTGCAATACAGGATGCAAGAAGTGGTGGTGCTAGGTAAGGCTAAAACAACTTTCACCGGTTAGAATTGTAGATCAAATATGATGTCCTGAATATTAATTTAAAAAAGAAATTGTTGCTGATTTACCTGAGGTCCTTGTTGAATTCCTGCCTTGAATGGATCACCAACAACACGGTTCACTGCAAGTGCCTTAGCTTTCTCCAGAAATTGATCATATATTCGCTCATGTACAAAAGTACGAGAACCTGCGCAGCAGCATTGTCCCTGCAGATGGTACAAAATATGATCAACAAAAGTAAAAAATATACAAACCTATAGTAAACTTTTAAAAAACATTTTTTGAGGCAATACCTGATTAAAGAATAAAGCAAAGTGCGCCAACTCAGCTGCCTTCTCTACATCTGCATCTTCACATACGATAAAAGGAGATTTCCCTCCAAGCTCCAAAGTTACTGGCTTAAGATTGCTTTTTGCTGCCAATTGAAGCACAATTTTTCCAGTCTCAGTTGATCCAGTGAAAGCAAGCTGCAAGAAATTAGCAAATAATTGTAGACATTATAATTCATGATCTGAAAAAGATAAGAAATTCTACTATAGTATGAAACCAACCCTTCAATACAAAGGATAAACTGTTGTACTGATTTATAGTGTTTTTCTATTGATCAACAAAAAAGTATTAAGAATTGATCAACAAAAATGTTCCCAACTACACATTTTAGAATCCTCCCCATTACATAGATTCACTCCATAATACAGTAGATTACTAAAAATCAGAAAAAATATGTGGAGCTACATTTATTAGTCAGAGAGGATAACTAACCTCTAGTTTATAATTCTTCCAAACAAATTACAAAGAAAGCCAAATTCAAGAATGCATGTAGTAAAGATTTTAAGGTTTTATAATACCTTATCCACATCCATATGACTAGAAAGAGCTGCACCAGCAGTTGGGCCGAACCCAGAAATTATATTTAGAACACCTGGAGGAAGTCCAGCCTGTCATAACAGTTTAACTCATCAGAACAAGTATGATAAGACCATAGGCCTATAGATGTGTTAGTTCCTCTTATCTGAGCAGATGTTTGAGCATTCCCTGGGCAAGTTGAGTATCAGATATTATGCAATCAGAATGAAAGATTTAAATATGTGCACGGTATATGTACAAAAAGTTCAAGTACAACTTCAGACAACTCTGGTATCACTTGAAATGATGATGAAATTGTGAAAATTACTCATCAAGAAATGTACTCGCCCATTTTGGCATTCATAACATGTGATAAATGTTCTTATCATTGAAAATGGTTAATGTGTATACACATCTCATATGCTTATATGTAAAGTTGTAAACTAAGGGTATCGTTAGAGTTCAGGTCCGGGTACACATCTTACTCATAATGGAGTTCAACAAATAAAAGAAACCCTGAAATCAAAAAAACAGAAACAAGCGCTCATTTGAAAAAAGAAAAGAATGTGAACAAAAGTTACTTCCAGAAAATACCTCAAGAAATAGCTTTGCAACATAGAGGGCAGAGAGAGGAGTCTGCTCTGCTGTCTTAAGAACAATAGTGTTCCCACATGCTAATGCAGGTGCAACCTTCCAAGCAAACATGAGAAGTGGAAAGTTCCATGGTATAATCTGTCCAGCAACACCAAATGGTTCGTGTAAGATTTGCACATGGTGCTCTCCATCAGCTGGAACTGTGAGACCGTGAATCTTATCTGCCCAACCTGAGGAATTTGAGCAAAGACATATATCTTAGATATTTCATAAATACAGAGAATACAAGTTAGATATTTCATAAACATAGAGAATACAAGGAACAATTAAAATTAAAATACAGCAATCGGCAGAAGGAAATGTTAAATCTTTTTCAGTTTACTCACCAGCATAATACCGGAAGAAACGCACAACCATTGGTATTTCAATTTTGGCAGCCTGTTCATATGGCTTTCCATTATCCCAAGTCTCAAGTGTTGCAACTTCATCGTTATGTTTTTCAAGCAAATCAGCAAAGCGCAGAAGTATCCTTGATCTTTCCTGAGGGAAAAAAGTAAAAATTAAGATAGATTTCAGACGATATATTTATATATTTCACTTCATGTAATACCATAAAATAAGTAAAAGTTAACAATCTAAGATGAAGAGTAGTTACATAAGCAGTCATCTTGGGCCATGGTCCTTCATCAAATGCCTTGCGAGCAGCAGCGACTGCTCGGTCTACATCTTCAGAATCACCTTCGGCAACATGGGCAATCACATTACCAGTTCTAGGGTCCAAAGTGGGAAAAGTTTTGCCTAAAACAAAAGAAAGCCCCAGGCATAAGATTCTTCCCAAAAAAAAAAAAAATATACTAAACTTAAAAAACAAAAATATTTTTTTTTTTCAAAAAACCTTAATTCCCCAAAAGAACAGAAAAGACTATTTCATGTGATATAAAGTTCACCTGATGCTGAATCAACAAATTTTCCATTAATTAAAAGCTGAGTATAATCTACTTTGACAGATGGAGTAAGTGGTTCCTCAATAGCAGCGGAGGTGCTATAACTAAAGGCTCCTCTGGTCAGCCTAGAATTGTTACCTGAAGAAAACAAACAATCTCAGTCACTCAATTGTAAATAAAAGGAAAACAACCAAGCATTTATTTAGAGCTGTGGACCAGGAAGAACAAACAGAGCGATAAATAATTTCAAAAACATTTCAGATTTGTAGTAACATGAAGACAGAAGAACCAAAACGAATTTAATAATTATAGGCCCCTGGCCCCAGACCCAGAATCAACCTTTAACTGAACAAAAAGCAAAACAACGTTAGAGAAGCCTCTTAGATCGTGATCGTTTCTCTTAAAAATTCTTTCTTTCTTTAACAAAGACAAATTTCATATTCTGATCACCGCAAATGAAAGATTCACAGCTTGAAGTTCTCATTTTTCTCCGAGTAAGATGCTAATATTGGGAAGAGTGATAGATATTATTAAGAAAGTTGTAAATTAAAGATGATTTTCAATCGAAAAGATGAATGAGAGTATCATGAGACATGAAAACCAAATCAAAAGAGGCAGAGTGCTAACTGTGTCACCCGGACTACCTCTAAGAAATGGATTAGATGAAGCAGTGCGTGAAAGCAAAAGCGATAATCTCCTGGCAGCCATCAAAACTCTCACTCTCTACTCGTCTTTGCTGAATGTCTTTGATTTTCAACTCAGCTTTCCAGTCTATATGTAATTATGTATATTATAATTTATAGTTGTCACAGGTTACAACTATTTTATTTTATTTTTTGTTTTTTGTTTCCTTCCTTTTACGTTTCGTCGTTATCCAATAATGATATTTTCCTAATTTTTTAAGGAAAAATTAAAATGAATTTGGCTGGAGCGGTGGGGTATGGATGATCAAACCAATAAAGAGAGAGAGAGAGTTTGTGTGTGCGCTGTGACGCATGACTAACCCACTAAACACAGGGCAATTTTAGAAACACAAGTTATCAAAGAAAAAGTCTGATCATATGAATTTGACGATAGGATCACGAGAATATTTGTGCATAATTCTTATGATAATGTAATTTTTAATGCATTTAATACAAGTTTTGACATTTCTTAGAAACATTCAATTTTGCGGATATGTGTCAAAAATGGAAGGCTGTACTTTTCAATTGCATGCAGTTGGCCGGCCCCATTTGTTTAAGAGTTTGTGCTTGTCGATAATTGAGAATATTGAGCAGAGGGAGTTGAAGTGGGCCTGTTCCAGAATCCCGAGAGAGGATAAAGACAATATTTATGCCAATCCATTCACCGGAACTAACCAACGACTGCCTTCATATCTATGACGACGCAGCAAGTAGCAACTTTCGTTTTCGTGGTCATCGCCCCATAACTCACGTCATTGTTTTTATCTCATATAAGATTATATACGGAAACTCCCAAACAAATCAAATTTGACGAGTTACCTCAATAATTCATCACATTCAAATTCTAATTACAATATTAATGTCAACATACTTATATCTATCAAACATAAAATTAAGGCAGAGAGTTAGTGTATACCTCTTGAAAATAGGGTAGATGTGAAGGAGCGTGGAAGAGAACAAGTCGACAGCATAAACGAGACGCTCCTGGTAGCCATAACTCTCCCTGGTGCGTGGAATGCTTCTCGTACTTCCAACACTCCATTAATATAACTGTTTTTTTTTTTTTTTTTTTTTTTGGTTGAAGGAGCATTCACGTCTCAGCAACTCACTGATCCAGGATACGATTTCATATCCCAGAAATCAAGGGCAATAATTAAAGTGAAGAGATAGAGATTCCATTGGGAATGTATAACAATTGGAGTTCTAATGAGTTGTCAAACTCAATTACATCTCATATAACGTCAACCGATTTCGTTAAAAGGATTCGGAGGACCTACCTGGAGAACTAGTATCAAATATTAAATGCTGATCTCAGTCTCTCTCTTGACTATCATATTATATCTCTTATCTTACATATCCTGTATTAAATGCTCCTCCACTCCATACTAAGGTAAGTCACATCTACCTGGAAGTCTGGAACACCATTAAATTTAAAATTAGTCCCTGAAGAGAACATGTGAAACTGTGAATAAAATACCCTAATCAAAGTCAATACACAAACAAGCCCAGGATCAGGGACGGACCAGTAGTGAAACTTAAAAGGCTCCGATGTTAAAGTAACAATTAACATAAATATAAATATAAATTTGATAAAAAAACTTATATTTATATTAATAAAAAAATAATACATTTATAATTATTTTTTTATGAGATTTTATCTTTTGAAAATTTTGCATAATGATTTTATTGTCAATATGATCAAATACATTATTCTCTATATATACAACTAAATTATGATTCAATCACTTATCACTCATTCTATTTTGCAGACGATTATTCACAACATTCATTGTTGAAAATGCTCTCTTTACACTAGCAATAACAGCCGGTAGAATCAATACTAATTTTATCAATAGATAAACTAATAGAAACACTCTATCATTCTTCCAATCCCATTCAATTTCATAAATTTGATATTAGAGTGTATATCCAAAATGTAAATATCAAATTGAGAATCAAGTATCATGAGTTCTAAATCAAAAAAATATTCTAGATAAAGTTCAGCAAGGCGCATCAATTTTTGCTTATAAAAAATAACAAATTTTTCATTTGGACATAAGCATATCAAACAAATAAGTAATTCAATGTTTACCTCATTGAAACGATTATTCAATTATTGAAGCTGCATATCTAGAACACTATAAAATACTTTAATGCGGTAATGATGCACGTTTGTGATACCTTTAGTCTTCCGTTGTGATCGCCCTTGAATAAAAATATTTGTCATCTATATTTGAATTATCAATGTCATGTTTGGCACAAAAATAATAATAATAATAATAATAATAAACTTTGCTAAGTAAGTTCTCTCATCCACTATCCCTCATCAATTGTAAAGGTTGCTTACACGTTTCAACCAAATTCATAGTATTTACAATATCATGATCTTTTCTTTTTATTGCTTGAAAAAGTTCATTTGTAAAGCTATGTAAATCTTTCATCATAAATAGACTAAATACAAAATTAAAGATTGCATCAATTTTAATACATTTCTTGAAAAACAGGGATCGGAGAGATGGAGTGGGGCAGTTGGGCAAGAGAAAGAGTTGGGCAAGAGAAAAAATAGGGAAAGATACTATTAGAGAAAGTCAAAAATTTTAATTAATTTAGTTTATTATAATTTTGTAATTTAGTTTTGTCATGGGGAAAAATTGAAAAAAAATTAAAAAATAAAACCCAAGTGGGGTCACTTGACCCCATATGGGTCCGCCCCTACCAAGGATTAAACTAACAACGAAAATAAGGCGGCTCTTAGCCCTTGAATCATCCAATCTCCTTCTTATTTAATTGTTTTAAAAACCGACCCGTTGTGAGACCCGACAAGGTGATCGGGTCAAAAGTCGAAGGTCCAATCGATCACAACAACAACAAAAGTATTTTCAAAAAATTTCAAATTAATTCCTTAAATTTTATTATATTATAAAATACTCTTAAAAATTACAATTAGTACCTTAAATTTTAATCTACCTTGACATACCCAACAATTCATTAGTCCCTAATGTTTTGAAATATTACAAAAATACTCCTAAAATTCACAAAGTAACCCCTACAAATTTCAAATATACAAATACCTGCCTGAAACCTAAACCAGTCCAAAGAAGCTGTCTGGTCCTGATCGGACCAGTCCAATCCAAGTTTTAAAACAGAGAGTCCTTACTTGGGTACAAGGTGTAAAGGTAGTAGGACCCTAAAAAGTAGAAATTTTACTGTAAACCATGTGATTACAAGCAACATGCTAAATTGCTAATCGTTATTACATGTAATAAAGATGGAACAGTTGGTGCCAACAAACCGCAGTAAATAGAAGAAAACATAATGCATAAAGTGAGGTAAATGATCAAATATTAATTGAGTAATATTATGTATACAAATTATTCCCTAAAAATTGATGTAACAACCATATAGGTTTGAAATATAATCTTCTTTATTATTTAATTTATTTTTAATTTAAAACCGTCCAATCATTTTTAAAATACACTAGTTTATATGAGAAAGTTTATATAGAAAGTTTTCACATAAAGAGGCCGTTTGGATGAGGTTAATATTAGATAATTAGGGTAATATTTTTTAAATTGAGCAGATGACGATGTTTGGTTGGTTTGTAAAAAAATATTCTCGGAATATTTTACAATAAATAGTAACATTTGGGGGGTATAAACACCAAATTCACTCATGCAGACACTTTTGTCCTCATTTTTTTAAATTTTTTGGACGATGTTGCCCTTGTTATTGTCCTTATTTACAGAAATGTCATTATACATAGAATTAGCCACCACCACAAGCCATTGTCGATCGTCACCGAAGGCTGCCAAAAGTCATCATAATGGCGTACGATCGACTGTATATGGCCGACTGTGCACCGTTTGGTTGTTTCACGACCGGATCTATGATCGTTTCACAACCACAGATGTGGCCATGAAACAATCACAGATCTGACTGTTTCACGACCAGATCTATAGCACTACCAACATCACGACCAAATCTGTGGCATTGCCAACGGTGATGGTTAACTACCGACAATAGCTTGGGATGGGTAGGAGTGCTTTTGTTAAGTTTAAAACGTTTTAGTTGCTAAGGCGTTTTTGCTAAATCTAAAAAGTAAAGGGTTAAAAGAAGTTATTAAAAAAATAATAATAAAAAATACTGTCATATTTAAAAAGGAAGACAATTTAATAATCTATATAACATATCTACTAATTTATCCTCCCAACCAAACATATTATTCACCAATTTATTCGAACCCACCAAATACATTTTCTAAACATTCCTAGTAATCTTTAAAATAATCTTTTATTCCGTTAATAAAATCTCCCTATAATAAAACATTATATGATCCAAACGTCCCCAAAATATTATCTATATTAATTACCAGTGAAAACTATAATCATAGGAAGAAACTCTCTTAACAATTCATACAGGCTACTAAAGGAAATCAATCCCCAAAGAAATTGGGAAGCACAGACAACAGAAGCTTCAAAACTGATACAATACCACCAAAGACAGTTTGCATATGCAAGGATTTCTGGGCACGTTGAAGCATAATCAACAATACTAAGCTAGTAGTCTCACATTCTTTTCAGATATATATACATGATTTCCGCAGACTAAAGTCATTAGCTTTGCAAACAATTTCAAACTTATGAGCATATATAATATAAGCAAGTTCATTTATGATTTAGTTCCGCTTGATTTTTGAAAATGTTCCCGTCTCTGAGAAGTACGTACTTTGAGTTCCACTGCCAAGTTGGTGTGCATGAGCCTGCGGATTTGTAAGCTCAATCCCCTGAAAGCAAAGAAATGCAATATATTAACATTTGCATCAAAATTTTAAGAGAAACATCAATAACATAAAGACCACCAAAAAATTCACAAAACTTAATAGTGAATTCAAAGCAAACGCATTCAAAGAAATATGAATCCATAACTACCAAGTCTTTTACATAGAACTTCTAAAGATTAACTCAAAATTTAACTCGACCGCAACTCATCAATAACAGAGAAACAAAACATATGTATGAAGACAAAAACAGTGAGATGCACAATTATGCTGTATGGTCCACGTTGTACATTAAAAACAATGCTTTATCTTTCAAATATTTTGATCAGAAATTTCAGCATCACCACTCTGGAAGTTCTAAATAGCATAATATTAGCATTCCTAACTCATTTTAAACTAGACATATACCTGCACAGGAGTAAATGCCAGACTTGATGTCAGTCCAGAAGTAGCACCACTGCTTCCATAATTCTTTTCCTTAAACCTGAGAAACAAAATTGCTCATGACTTACAAAACCAACTAATAAATCAGCATGAAATAAGATTACTGACAATCAAAAACTAAAAGCAATCGAAAAAAAATTGCTACTTGAACAATAACTAAAAGCAGGAAAAATAAATAAAACAAGACCCACTTCTTTGCAACTTTTGCAGCAAGTTTGCTCTGCCCAACTGAAACACGGAGTTTGCCACTCCCAGCCTGCCCAAGCATTCCATAACCCTCCCCCAGCCCATCACCTGTCGCCAGAAAACATATAAATAGTAAGAAAGGTGCATCTTAAAGGAGTCTCAACCTAACAAAACATAGTCTTCTTAAATTTAATAAATAATCAAATGAAATTTCAACCCCGTAAGTCATAATATATGCCAAGAAAAAAGGTTAAAATTGATGCAGATTTGTACTACTACAAATTTACCTAAGGAACTCTCTTCAGGCACACCAAATAACATCCTGTTAGCCAGCTTCCTCATATCTGTTACTGCATATCTATAAAAAAAAATAAAAAGCAAAACATCATCAAACAATACAAGAAACTCCAAAAAGAGAATAAAATATCCAGTATAGACAACAATGGCTGCACCACCTTTCCTTCATCTTCCTTAACCGACGACCACCTCTCTTCTTTTTGGGTTCTGAATCTGGAACTGGAAGTGGTTTAGGTTGCTTTGCCGGAGGAGGCTCTTGCCATTTTTCAATCTTCTTGCGAATCTCTTCCCTAAATGCTCTTCCAGCAGTTCCAGAAGGATCTCCTCTAGTAGAATCTACACGTGCAGCAAGGGTTGATTTTGCAGCCAAGAGCCGACATGCACGCATCCTCAAAGAAGGGGGGGTGGTTTGAAAAATCTCTGTCTGCTCAAGATAACCAACACGGAATTGTGATGTTGCAGTAGAAAATCCTGCAAGATTCTTTTTCTTGGCACCAAGAAGCTGAACATTACAAGCAGGCATCTTAGCTAATGCTGAGAGACCGCCTGCAGTTCCCATAAGTTTTGCTGCAACCGCACTTCCAACAATTGCAGATAGATTTGGCGCAATATATCCCATTCTACTTTCTACAAAATCAAGGACCTTCTTCTTCGCTGAATCAAGAGTAAGAGCTCGATTGCATGCATCAATTGTCTTTTGGAGGACCTCTTCTGGGAGTGGCTTACCACTAGTGGTTGACGCTGTAACTGAAACCACCATAATAATAGCTGAGGGTAAAAGCCCCTCCAGATCAACAAGGGTTAAATCCATCTCATTGCCAATCTTTTTCACAACACGGGCATAATCAATTGGGTGATGCACAAGAGATTCGAGCTCTGGAAATTTCAAGCGATACTTGTCACGAATGAAATTGTGGATGATAACAATTTCATTCTCAATATCGACCGATAATGCATTGCAATCTACTATCAGCTGGTATTCTGGATCATCTTCTAATACCAATCCATGATCTGATGTATCAGAACCCTTCTGAAGTGCATCTTCAACTTTCTGCAATGCAGACACCATATTCCCATTATACAGATGTCAATATGCGCATTATAGCAAATGGAATTAGAACTGAAAATAGTCACTTCAAACGTCAATCCCCATAACCAAGCACGTGTATCTATAATTAAAACTTGAAACAAGGAATGAACAAAGGGTAGCATACGGAATCTAAATTGTGAGGAAAATCCTAGTTAAGCATGCAACTCTAGGAAATTGAGCGTATATTTGTATACAGTTGCTAAGAAAAAAAGCTGATCAGAGAGGACAGACAAGAAATGAAATCTTGATACTAGAAAAACAATATGCTATTAAGTGTGCATCATATAACATCAAAAAAAATTTAAAAGAGAGCACATTATGAGACATCAATGCTCTCCACAATCCACATAGAACAAGCATGAGAATTTCAAAATAATAGTGATAATAAATAAAATAATTTAAATTAACACACTGATACTAGATATAGTGTAAATAGAAGCAAATATGATATATGAACTGACCTGCATTATATCAGTATATCTCTGAGTTTTCTGCAATTTTGAAACATTGTCCAGGTCATCATAGTTAAGCGCTTCTATATCTGCCATGTCACCATCGATGTCCTCTTCCATGTTTGAGGCATCGACCTCATCCTCCTCCTGGAATATATAGACATAAACATAATGTCAAAAATAATATGCAGATGGACTTTCTCCCTTATAAAATCATAGAAATGGGTGGATGCAGGATGAGAACGCCCAGCAGTAAATGATAAGCAAAAACAATGTAGTGTCATGTTAATTAAAGAATCTTAGCAGAAATCAACTGTAATGCTAAAAAAAAAATAGCAGCAGCAAAATTGAAAAAGAAAAAATGTAGTATAATTACATGAACTTACAATAATATCAGCTTCATTGTCAGATAACTCATCCAGGTCAGCTAGGAAAGAATCAGCCAAAGTCGCCTGAAAAAAAAAAAAAAAAAGACAATGAGGACAAGAGAAGTTTCTTTACAAAATTATTAGTACCCCTAAATGCTACACTGAACAATGTAATACAAGCCCAAATTAAATTTCAGCGTCAATAAACAAATCTAGCAAGAGTCACCTGAAAAAACTCCCCAAGAAGTAAAATGAGTATAACAGAACTTTCTCACAAAAAATTTATTAACCCTAAATCCTACACTGAACAATGTAGTACAAACCTGCGTTGATTTCAGTTTCAGTAAACAAATCTAGCAAACCTACATATGAAGTTTAATATAAAATAGAATTTAAAAAAAAAAAAAAAAAAAAAACTGATAATTTCCACGATAACAATAGTATACTAAGTTCTAATAATGAGGTTTTCCCATGCACAAAACAGATATACCATAATTTCTTTTTTTAATAACTGAGTTGTCCTGGCCAGCTTACGCGCACCCCAAATAATACTCATGGAGAGCTATCTCACAGCAACCCACTGCCATGCATCCCCCCAAGATGTGCACACGGGTTAAATCATGGGTAAAAGTACTATCTTTGCGCCCGGGTGGGGAATTGAACCTGGGACTATGGGTTAGACCATTTGCAGCCCCCTTGGTTCACCCTTAACGCTGGGCTACCCATAGGTGGACTAGATATACCATAATTACCAAAAACACAAAACAAAAACTACGATTCTCGCAATCATGCAATCACAAAAAATTAATGATGAACTAAATAGTACAACGACATGCTTAAATTTGTGGTCGCATCAAAGAGCATAGTAAAGAAATAAAAAAACCTAGTAAATAATATAAAAAGCAGTAATGATTATAATTATAACAAAATCGAAGAGGAATACCATTCTTTCGCGATCAGGTGGATAAACTCAGGTTGAGTCCTCCTCTAGGGTTTGCTCCTGGACACAGAAAACGAATAAACAAGTGGAGAAGCCAAAATTTAGATATTGAAATCTCAAGATCAAGACTCGAGGAAAAAAATATAAAACCGAATCGTATAGAACCCAATTAACTAACGAATACCTTCCAAATAAATGAAAATCCCTAATTCGAGAGAGAACCGACTCTACTGAGCAGATAGAGCTAGGACACAGTTTTTTTTTTTTTTTTTTTTTTTTTTGTCAGTTTGAGAATTTAGAAATATCTGGGCCTGGATCTGGGTTTGGCGACTTGGGTTAAACCCGATGATATTGTATTGGGCTTTTTAATCAGGGAAAGGGCTCTATTAATGTCACATCAAGTTTTTCCAGTAGAGAATAGAGATAATTTGGACTTTGGAGAGTCAGGTCAACCAAGTCGTTTCATATTTGCAGTGGAAATCTCAGTGAAGAAAGAAGAAGAAAATGTGGTTCCTGCTTGGTCAATGGTCAATGTATGATAAGAGTGAGTGGAATGGAACATAAATTTGTATATATTTGACCTTCTATTTCAATTCAAAGAACGTTAAAGAAGCATTTGAAATTTTGACAGAAATATTATTCCAAAGCACTTACGCATGAATATTATTATATTCCTGAAAGCACTTTCTAAGAGAAAAAGTTACCTTTCAAATGTTTTAATTTAATTTTTTTTTTAATAAAAGCGTTCTTTTTTAAGAGTGCTTTTACAAAAGGTAATATTATACTTACAATCTAATTTTATAAACTTTCTTTCACAATTTCGACATGATAGATCATAACGAGTCTCGTTTATCCAATTACGAACCCCGTCTACCTAATTGTGAGTTGTTATATCAAATTATAAAAAAAAAGTTTATAAGATTTAATTGTGAATTAATTTTTATTATTTTAAAAACATTTACGCGGGTGTTTGGCCAAAGGACATACAAGAAGGTGAATTTAGTGAGGCACATTTTCTTGAAACACACTCATAATTACATTGCCTGTTGTGAAATTTTAGTGGGAACTAGGAAGTGCCCAGGTCAAGTGGTGTAGTTATAACTTGTAACCAATTCGACCCCACATTGTTAATCATGTAAAATTGGGTATATTTAATTGATTTTAAATAAATAAAAATGTTATTAATTCTTTCAAAAATGACATATTTATTATCCAATCAGATACTTATTTAAATATAAAATAAAATATTTTTGAAAATGGAAGCATGAGCATGCAGGGGAAGCAGCTGGGTGGTTTGATAATAAAAGGTAAAAGTAGATCTTATGAGTTTTTGAATTCAAATCCTCTCAAACACTAATAAGAGCCGTTACTATAATTCTTATTTAATCAATAATTTCATAATCTTAAAAAATTAGTTGAATTGTGTATAAATTAACTCAAATAATGATTAAAAAAAAAAGCTGCCGACCACTGCCACCACCACAAGTGGAAAATCAAACTGCTTTCACACACGCTTTCAAATAAGTCATCGTTTTATTCTAGTCTAGTTTACTATAATGAAAGCAACCGCCCCATCAAACCACCGATGACCATTTAATCATTCATTCCTTACTTTTTGGGTTTACAGTTGAAATTTGAAAAAACATGATCAAATTGATGATTTTGGTGGGACAAATACAATCAATCACAGAGCCCAATAAGTGTTTTGCATAGCAACCATTCATTGTACATGTGTTGATTCTCAGATAGCAAAGGACAATGATTTCTCCAAGACACACGTGTATCTCCCAAATTCTGTAATCTTACTGACATTTATAATCTATGATCTATCACTTACTCAACTCCACCGTCAACTATTCACTGATGCCTCATACTATACAGTACCCTTTAATAAGTATTATATTGTTATAAGATGAGTAAAATTATACTTGAAATTTATTTAAGAAATTGTGACTGAGAATATTCTATGAGCTTTTCAATTGTTTATCGACTTCTCCTTTACCTTTAGCCCTCATCAATAGTCAATGAGTGTCCTAAACAGAATAAAATTATATATGATCTCATTTAATTTCATTCGCTAATTGCCTAATTATATACTACTAAAGTCTACTATTATCCTTCTAAGGTTATTTAGAGGTAAAGCTATTATTGATGCTTGGGCCAAAACGTTACATTTTGTTAGGATTATGTATGTTATTATCGAATTTAAGTTGTGAAAATATCATTTTAGTCTAATCATATATAAGTAGGGTTGAAATCAAGTCGAGTACTCAAACTCAACTTTTTTGCTACAGTATTGAGTTCGAGTTCGAACTCGGTACCTAAAAGTCAAATTTGAGTTTGAATCGTGAGCTCAGTTAATCGAGTTTTACTCAAACTTAATTAAGTTTTTCGAGCTTTTTGTGCAGTACTTTAACTCGATTCGACTCAACTAATGCTAGTCAAATTTAAACCAAAGCCGAGCTGAGCTCGAGTCACTCGCAAGTGGCTCGACTCGGTTTTCACCCCTATTTACAAGTATAATTCTTAATATATATATGAGAATAATATTACTCTTACAAAATGTGCATATAAAGTTAATATACAAAGTTTTGTGTTAATCAACAGGTAATTCCATGTCACTTTGTACATAAACTTTGTAAAAGTAACATTTTTAATGGTTGAGATTTAATATAACTTGCATAATTAATGTACTTTAGAAATATTATATTTAAATGCAATCTCAATCACTCTTAACCACCACTGGGTGCTTAAGCGATCAATTAGGACTCTTGGGTATATTACTCAGGAGATTATGAATTCAATCCACCTCAGTTCCTAATAAAGGTGACTATTAAAGGCTTATTCAGTCATTAACTTCAAGACCTAAAGAATTAGTTGAGATATATGTAAGTTGGTCTAAACATCCTCAATCACACAAAATAAAAAAAACTCAATTACTCAAATGTATTAATTTCACGCTTCAAAACTTGTTTAAAAAAAATGAGGCCCTTGATTATAATCCAAATATGTATATAGACACATGCGATCACCGTATCATAATTTAAAAAAAAAAAAAAAAAAAAACAAGGATCATGATATTATATATTATTTAAAAGCAATATTAGGGGCATGCATGGTGGACGCATTCAACCTTTAATCATGGAAATCTAACCATTCATTAAGTATTCTTTATTTTATAGCCGAAAATGATCAGGCTCTTTGTTGCATGGTACACTAGAGTGTATTGGTTTACCCATATTATCCTCATGAGTATTGCTATGTGCACTAACTAATGTGTATTAATCTAAGTACTAACATTGAAAATTTAAATATTTTTTTTAAGGGAATTGCAAATTTCCAATGTTAGTACTTGGATTAGTACACATTGGTTAGTGCACATAGTTTTATTCTATCCTCACATACAAAACAACCGATTTACACAATTTGCACAAACATACGGATTTGGCCTCAGTCTTTTAATTTTCCGAACAAAATTGCCCTGGTTATTATCATTTTTTTTTAAAATGCCACGAAATATTGGTGTACCTATATTATCCTCACATATCTGCATATTGTGACCAATATGCCCTTTTATTTCAATAAAACTACAATATAAAAAGAAAAAGAAAATTCTCAGCTCTAATAAACATTTCGACCAAGATTTTGCCCTAAACCTCCATCGTTGCCACTGGAGTCTTCTTCTTCTCGATCTCGTTCGCCAGTTCGTTAGTCCGATCATCATTTCTAATAAGTCCCTTGCCCTCTTTTGATTGTATGGTTCGTGATTTGTTTGGAGTGCGTTTGTAACTCTATCTCAAAGAAACATATGTCTTTGTTTTGGGTGTTGAGACGACTACAAGGCTTTCAGGATCAACCCGTCAAGATGAATTGTCACTCTAGATTTCCAGTTCTTTTGCGGGTTTGCTTCTATTTGTTGTTGGATTTTTGCCGCTGATGGTTGCCTCTATGAAGGACATGGAATCAATGGCCGTTTGGAGGATTACTTTTGAGAGAAAGCTTGAAGATTTGGCATGGGATTGGCCAAGGCAGGTAATTGGGGATTGTTTACTGGCGCTTTCTTGGGTCTTGTTTTTGGTGAAAACTTGGAGAGAGAAGTATGATTAGTTTCTAATGATAAATTTGAAACCGAATCCAAGGTTTTGAGTTTGTGGTCTCAGTTTTGGTGTATTAATTGTGGTGTTTTGAGGCTTTAGTAAATGATTTTGAGATTGGTACTTTGTTAAAGCATTTTGGAGATGTGTTATTACTTGCATATGGTTGAAAAGAGATTGACTGTTGAAAGAAGTCAGGTGCCTGAGCTTCCTGGCCAACTGTATATTTTGTTAATGAATTTAATGTGTCCATTCATAATCAACTATGTAATGTAACAGTGGTGTTGTGCTTTCTTATGTCTGCATTATGCTAGACAAGGAATTGTGACAAAGTTTTCCATTTCCAACTTTATGTCAATAACACTTTGCATAAGAAAATTTAAACGACAGCCATAATGAATTTTTGAAGACAAGAGTGGACTCGTACATGATAATGCAATAATATTGATGGGTTGATCCATTGTTGATAATTGAGTAACTAGATGGAATCCATTGTCAAGAGAGGTTATATTTTGGTAATGGAAAGAATTGGGGCAGTACAAAAATCAGAGTTTTAAATTAAGTTATGAGAACTTTTTTTCGGAGTTTCAATAACTTTTTTCCGGAGTTTCAATAGTTTGTGTAAATGACGTAACAATAAAATACTTGGCTAAAATATTAGAAATTTTTTTTATTAATTGATCATTTGTTTTATTAACCAAACATATTAATTATTTATACCCAGAATTATCTTAAGGGCATTTAGTAAAATGTAATTAAGACATCTACTTTTATCGCCAACCAAACAGATTAATTAGTAATACAAGTAATCTTCCAAAGGGCATTCTAGTAAAAGGGTATTTCAGGACATCTGTTATTACTGTCAACCAAACACATTAATTATTAATACGTCCCAATTGAACCAAGCACACTAATAATTTAAACCCAACAATCTACAACGTAATCTATCTTTTTGGTAATCTTATTACTAAGATAAAAAAATATTATATGATCCAAACACCCTTTAAGGGGTTGGCTTGACAATCAAGAAAATTTGTTTCCTTTATTGAGTTCCTATGTTCAAATCTTGGAGTTACCTATCACATTGTGACTTACCTAATTCTCTGGTCTTGTAGGGTGTTTAATAGACTCTGAGAATTAGTTGAGGTGCTCCGCAAGCTAGTCCGCCTATTTACCAAAACTAAAACAAAATATATATATATATAATTTTTAATAAAGTTAATATCAAGACATCCTCACTAATATATAACCACTAATTTATATATATGGATAATATTACTCTTACGCAATGTGTATATAAAGTGATGTGTTAATCAATAAGTAATTCTACGTCACTTTGTAAATAAACTTTATAAGAGTAACATTTTTAATGGTTGAGATTCAATATAACCTGCATAATTAATGCACTTTAGAAATATCATATTTAAATACGATTTTAACAATTCAAACGCCTTAATTTACCGTTTAAAAAATTATGTCAAAACTTGTGTAAACATATAAGATCCTTCATTTATATATATAAACACGCGATCATCACATTATAATTAAAAAAAAAAAAAAATTATGATATTATACATTATTTAAAAGCAACACTACGGGCATGCATGGCATGGTACCCGTATTCAACCTTTAATCATGGAAATCTAACCATCCATTTAAGTATTCTTTATTTTATAGCTGAAAATCGGGCTCTTTGTTGCATGGGACACAACCAGTGTAAACTTTATTTATTTATTTATTAGTTGTTATATTTAATTCTTTTTTCAAACAAATTGTGATAAAAATCATTACCAACTACGTTATTATAATATATTATGTTGAGCCACCGATCATAAAAATGATGGGTTGTCTTTTTGCATTCCTCCTCTTTAAGGCCGAGTATTTGTACCATAATAAATAATAAAGATGTCTCCCAGCAAAATTTTATAAACTTTCTCTCATTATATGTTAGATATATAAAACTTGTAATTGAATAGAAAAGATCATTACGATTGTTACATCGGAGTTATAAGAAAAATTATGAGATTAAATTATAAATATAGTAATACCATAAAATAAATTAAAAGTTCTTTAACTTTTGGATTTTTAGTAAAGATTGGTTCATAATTGATAAAACAAGAAAATTCATGTGAGATTGTGAAAGATAATTGTGAGATTGAATTCTACGTGGGGGTGATGTTTCAATTTTTCTAATAGTTTTGATTAAAAAGAAAAAAACAGAGCAGGTGGAGCATGGGGCAGTGAGCACATTGGCAAATGTGTAAAACATCTGAAAAATCAAGGGCTTTTAATTTTAATTCCAAACATGGATGTTCTCAAACCTATTCTTTCCCATTTTATAATCTAATTTAAAAAAAAAAAATAAAAAAAATAACGGCCTCTCATCCCGAGTTCCCAACCCTAATTGAGAACCCTATCATTTTGTACTGTACTTTAAGAGGGGGAGGGGGAATATCTCTTTTACGAGACGATATATAATATGATATGATATGATATGGTAGTCCAGGGAATCATATCTCACTCAAACTTTTGTTTCGCTCGCTCTTTCACCTTCACCTTCACCCGCGTCTTTACTAAGCCAGATCTTCACACCATTATTTATTCTTTTCTCCCACTTGTTCCTTGTTTATATTTACATCACCTAACCCTTAGATTGAGTGGTGCCTCTTGTCTTTTCTTTTTCGCTTTCTATCTTTCATTTTTATTTTGATTATGGCGGAAACTGGTTCTGATCTGCCTGTCAAGAGACCTAGAGATGACGAACAAGAGATTAATGGTTCCATTTCCATGGAGACTGAGTCTACTCATATCTCCTCTGTTATTCCTGGCTGGTTTTCTGAGATCAGCCCAATGTGGCCTGGTTCGTTTTTTCTCGTAAATTTTAATTTTATTCTTGTTTGTTTTGTATCTTTAATTATATTTTCCTGTTGATATCTGAGACTATTTGGTATTTGTGTACATATGGCGTTATGATTTATATGTTTAATTTAACGTTTATTATTTGTATGTTAAACTTGGATTTATTAATTAATACACTCTGTTCGCTGACATTAATATCCGAATGTTTCATTTTGATTTTAATTTTTTTTGTTTTTTGTTTTTTTATGTGCCTGGTTTTTGTATTTTTTGTTCTTTGTTTTTAATTTTGGATGTTGATATTTGTATTACCATAACATTTAATTTCAGATTTTTTTTTTTTTTTTTTTTTTTTTTTTTTTTTTTTTTTTTTTTTGGTTGAATCAATACAGAAGTTTGCACGCATGTGTGTTTTGGTTTGTTTTCATTTTGTGCTGCTTAAGAGAGCAATTTATTGTGCACTATGATGCGCCTGTGGTCCTTTAAGGGGTTTTATTTATTTATTTTTTTTTTCAATTTCTTTTTATGTAGTCTAAAATTGAAAAGGCGTAATGATTTGCATGATATTTAGCATTGTTCAGGGAGAAGAAAGTGTTGGGTCTCGTTTTGCTTGTTTATTGCATATATGTAGCTTTGTAATGCTTTTGGAACTTTTTTGAGTTGGAGCCTTCTTGTAATTGCCAGATATGCTTATTCTTTCATAGTACAATGTTGGTTGTTAAATCTTAATGTGGCATACAATTTGAAGTTTGTTGTTGAAATCATGCAGGTGAGGCACATTCCTTAAAGGTTGAAAAAATCTTATTTGAGGGGAAGTCTGATTTCCAGAATGTCCTCGTCTTTCAGGTATTTTATGCTTTAGGTTTATTTCCTTTTGCAGATCTCATGTTGTGTCCTATTTATATGTTGGTGCATAAGTTATTGACTATGCTGATTTCTGCAGTCATCAACATATGGAAAGGTTCTGGTTCTGGATGGGGTGATTCAGCTCACTGAGAGAGATGAATGTGCATACCAAGAAATGATCACCCACCTTCCACTTTGCTCAATTCCAAACCCAAAAAAGGTCTTTATATTCTTGTAGAACTAAAAAATTAGTCAGTCATTAAGACATGCTTTATAATTTTTCTAACAAGATTGTCATAAGTAATTTTGTGACTGAAGCTTTTTGTGAACCTTGGTTCATCTATTTCTTCATGCTATCTTTGTAGTAAATGCACGTATAATTTAAATTGTACTTTGGCTCAAATGTCAAGGTGGTCCAAACATGTAATATTTGGATGGAATTTAAATATTTCAATTTGATTTAAATAATCTAGTGCCAAGGTAGAGTTGATTACTTTGATTTTCACTCCTCTGGTAGAGTTTATATGAGATGCATTAAGGTTTTATTATTTTGGTTTTTTTCTCATTTCAATCTTCACCGCATTGTTTTACCTCAGGTTCTGGTTATTGGTGGAGGAGATGGTGGAGTGTTGCGGGAAGTGGCTCGCCATTCATCTGTTGAGCAGATCGATATCTGTGAAATCGATAAAATGGTTGTTGATGTAAGTAGTGAGAGGAAACATAACATGTTTCGATTCTTTCTTGGCTTTGATAATATGGTGGCGTTTCCTTTTTATTTCACCGAAATGAATTTGGTTTGTTGACATTCATGCACCTTTATCATGCTTGACCCTTTTTAAATGGGCACAAGGTTCATATATAAAATGTATTTTTTATTTGTATCCAGGTCTCTAAACAATTTTTCCCTGAGGTAGCTGTTGGGTATGAGGATCCCCGTGTGAAACTTCATATTGGTGACGGTATGATCTGTTTCTGGTATGTTCCTTCTTTTTCTGTTTCTCCCATGAATTCATTAAATGGTGGGACTTCTTTAATATTGCAGGAGTTGCCTTTTTGAAGGCTGTTCCTGCTGGAACTTATGATGCAATCATCGTGGATTCATCGGACCCGATAGGTACTGATATATCTGCAATGGATAATGTTGTTGTATTTCTCAATGGAAATTTGAGAACTATCTTTCAAATATATTGAATTAGAAAATAAGAATGAATGAGGCAAGTGTCTTTGAACTTAAGCATTGTGTTTGTTTCACTCAGGTCCAGCACAAGAGCTCTTTGAGAAGCCATTTTTCGAGACTGTTTCTAAGGCTCTTCGTCCTGGAGGAGTTGTGAGTACTCAGGCAGAAAGCATCTGGCTTCACATGCACATTATCGAGGACATTGTTGCAAACTGCCGCCAGATCTTTAAAGGCTCAGTCAATTATGCATGGACCACAGTTCCCACTTATCCAAGGCATATACTTCTTATTTTATTACTATTACTTTCTGTGGTGTGCTCTAAGGTTATTTTGGAGATTTGTTATTTCCGAGAAATTACCCTATTTGCCTTTTTCCTTTCTGTTCTAGGAGTGATAATTTGATAAGTTAAATGCCCCTCAATTTAGGGGACTTTTTTTTTTTTTTTTTTTTTTGAGAAATATATCTTGCATTCTGTGGTTTATTTCTGATGATTCTTTTTTACCTTTCAGTGGGGTGATTGGTTTCATGCTTTGCTCAACCGAGGGACCCTCTGTTGATTTCAAGCACCCAGTGAACCCAATAGACGCTGATAAAAATCCCAGCAAATCAAGAGGACCCTTGAAATTCTACAATTCAGAGGTTTGATTTGATTCTGATCCAGCAGTATTTTTTTTTTTGTTTATTTGTGTTAAGACTGAGGCATCAGGTTTTGCTAATTCACTTGTGTGAAACACATTCCAGATTCATACAGCAGCATTCTGTTTGCCAACTTTTGCGAAGAAGGTGATTGATTCCAAATGAATACAAAAACTGCAATAGCATTGAAGCAGGAGTCAGCTTCTGCACTGGTAGAAATTTATCCATTTTGCCATGAGAAACGGAATAAGCTGAGGTTTAAATTGATGTCTTGAGTATCTTTGATTGGGTAGAGTTAGTGATATTATTGTTGGTGAATTTTATTAGTGCTAGTGATCTTCTATTTGAAAAAAAAAAAAAAAAAAAAAAAATGGCTGTTCTTTAATGCATTTTTGAATTGCATTCACATATCTATGGGTTTACTCCATTTTTTGACATTTTGGATGCTTGATATTATTTAGTGCCATTAATCAGTTTCTACTAGAAAATCTACTGACCCGGAGTAACTGCTCAGCAAGACGTCCATTATTTTAGGTTGGCAAAGAAAAAAAAAAAAACCGAATAAATGTCATAAAGTTGAAATTCCAATAACGTTGTCTAAGAAATTCTGACAATGTTACTGATAAACAAAATCATCAGCGTAACATGTTTAATGCACAATAAAAGGATAAAGATAGAAAGAGCCTCAGAAGCCCAACTTATTAAAATTTCATATTCCTGAAACAAAGTATTTTATTTTATTTTATCCCCAAACTAGTTTCGACAATCCCCACTTCCTCGTCAATTTTCTTCTCTAAAATCCTCTTCTTGCAGTCATAAAAATACACCATGCAGGCCACCCATTTTATAAGATTCCCTAAGCTGTAAAAAACATTCTGTAAAACCATTCCATGTCCACTTTCATAGCACCTAAAAACCAGGCATGGCAGCCTTAAACAAACTCCCCAAACAAAGAAAACAAGCATCAACACTCTCCCCCGTTTCTCATTACCTCTACTAAAATATGCAGAGAGTTCAAGAGCTTCAACCCCTTTTATTTCCTCTAAAATTGAAATTACAATACCCATGATCCATTGCGCACTCCATTCCAAATACTTCGTTAAAAGTGCTACAAAAGCTGACCCATATATCACTGCAAATAACACATTATAAATCAAGTTCCTCAACAAAATATAGTAGTTTATCACTAACCATATCAATCCCAGTAGAGTGCAAGTTGACAAGATGAGAACATAGACTGATGTGATCAAAGCGGCACCCAGCTTTGCTATGTAAATGGGTTTATCGATCATCTCTTTGAGGGTCATCGTCGGTCTCTCTTCTGATGAGTATATCTTTGATGCCAAGTCGATGGTCAGAAGCATTGTGAAGAGCTCTAAGAGATGAAGAGGTAGCAGATAAAGGAGACCAAGTTGAATCAATTTATAAGCAAAATCTTTGTTCATGCTTTCGGTTATAAGATGATCTGGGAGTGGCCAGTTATAGTTGGAATAAGAATGGGTTGATAGAATATCTGAGGTTTGAGCCAGAGTTTTTAAGAGGAAAGATTCGTAGTAAATCAAGAAGCTGAACAAAGGGAATGAGATCATTATGGAGAATACGAGGAAGTTGATGTTCTTGCAAGGAATACTTACAGCTTCCTTGAGAATACCAAAGACCTCCAGCTTCTGAATATCTTTGCTCTCCGTCTCCATGCCTTTAACTTCCGTACCGCAGGAAGCTTAAAATCCAAGCAAGTTTTGAAAATAAGTAATGTAGTTACCCTATTCTGGTTTCTGTCAATTGTATATTGATGCCGGGTGGACTTGACTTAGAAGACTTGACTCCCATCCCATAATCACTACCATTGAATTTAGAGGACGCATTAACTTGCTTGATTATAATGTCACCTTCTATCAAGGATATTTTCTTCCAGGTCCTAAACAAAGGAGATGGAAGAGATTCACTGTGTTGGGAGCTGAGGTCTTGCAAATTCACCTCACTAGTCACTACTTTCTATTGACAGGTTTTATACAGCATTATTAATGTTGTTCAATTATACACAGTTGGGTATTCTACTATTCCATTGTTCTGATACCTGACCCGACCTAGCCGATTGAACCAGGACCCGAGACTTTCGACAAACGGGTTATCACTTTTAACTATTCACCCTAAACTATAGAATTATGAACGACGATTGATGAGTATGCAACGGCAATTATGTTAGGGCTTTCAAAGGGGGAATGCCAATGAGTCCAAAGGTGGTGAAAGGAGTGATTTCCGTTGAGTGAATCGATCAAAAAAGGCAAAAATCAATTGACCAAAACAATAGCCTATTGCCAACGACTGGCAAAGCAAAAGGGACAGGTGTGAGATGGGCTTTAATCAGGAGGCTAGGGAGAGTGTTTTTCTAGTGATGGAAGTATTGTCATCACCAGGAACATACCCTATTTGGCCTGAGATGTTGACGCCAACGATGGTGTTTGAGGTGTTTTGCAATATTTTCAACCTATAAGAACTTATATGTAATTTTCAGGAGTATTTTTGTTAAATTTCAAATTTTGGACACCGATTTGACCTATTGGTCAAACAGGTTCAACCCCAGACCAGACCACTTTGCGGGGTGAAACTTTGCCGGGTTTCATCGCGGGTTTTTTATTAAAACATTGTGGTATTCCATGACTAAAGAAGAAAGTTTAGATGCTCAATAATTTATACAACCAAGATACTTAATGATACAAAATTCTTTTACGCTTGTCATTTAAAATGTTTACTCGATTAAAATTAACAAAGAATATATGTAACAATCACTAATTAGGCTTTATGAGGACAGGGCGACGTCCACGCCCACTATTCAAATTGCAAGTAAATAAAAATATATATTGTATAAATCCCAGCACCAAAATACAGAAATGTCCGGGGATTGCTTTAACACAATATAATTACCTGTACAAAACCTGTGGATAAAAATGATTCACACGTCGACATGCAAGACAAAAGAAAACAATGTAAATAAATAAACTGACAATGACTGGAATGCTTCCAGTTCCAATCTTCAAGCATCTCTGCACATCATTTCATATAGTGTTCCCATGGACTGTGTAACCTACCCAATTGGAGCAGCAAATGGACATTATTTCATTGGTTGTTAATTGTTACCATTAACTTTGAACCATTCACTACCGTACCAGAATCCTTGCATTAGGTCTACCTTTAACCAGCTAGCAGAGAAGAAAAGGTCTTAAGTTGATCAGAAGACTTGCCCTCGAAGCACATAAGATCAGAGGTGAGCTATAACAGGTTTCTGAGCAATTCAATTTTCAACATCTATTTCAAGCCGAACATGCGGATAGACAGAGACAAGTAGATGATGTAATACAGAAAAGCAGGGATGGGATGCACAATAAACAGCTTCAAACGCTTTGTTGCAGAAGAACAAATTTCTGAACATAACCATTTTCAACATGGGACTCAAAGCTGACAATATGTAGGGGCAACGGCCAGTAGACGATGTGGTGCAGAGAAGCAGAGCAGAGATGGGATGCATTAAAGATGCAGTAATGTGGCGAAACGATGCTGTTTAGCCCAAAATCACACATCAAAACAAAACATATAAACCTTTTAGATATATCTACTTCAGAGTTATCAACATTAATGCAGTTAATTAACTTAAAAACATATAAACAACAGCTAAGATGGCAATTTAAAGTAGGAAAGAGACCTCCAAGTATGAAGATAGCAAGCCCACACAAACAGCGTCGATAACAGCCTTTTTAGTGGCTGAAAGACTTTGTAGAGCCATCCAAAACCAAGTTCCTAACAAACCTCACAGCCATGACATGAACAATAATACTATAAATCCTGTTCATTCGACTGATCCTATAAAGACTACGATTCTGCAGATCTGTGATCTGGTTCACCACGCATATGCTCCACTGCAGGATCCAAGCTCAGTCTCTGCAAAGACAAGCAAATATTTAAGCCAAGATGCAAATACAAATACTGAGAGAATCAAAAAATACAAATTGAATCACCTTTCACTTCCCAAGGAAAAAAAAAAAAAAAGAGTAATTGAGGATAACTGATAAACAGACTGGTTTTATGAGAGGAATCAAGCAACTATCAAAGTTTTAAATTATGGTTCCTTCTAAATTTAATTCTTAGAGATGTGAAACTGTAAGATCTATAATTTTCATTGAATAGAAACTGCACCATTCATGGGGCCTTGGATGCTGTCTGGAAAACACAAAAGCACTGTTACTATTTTATGATCCCTAGAAAGTTTTAAAAGCTGGGAACCATGACATACCCATTAGCATAAGGTGAATCACGACGAGAATGGCGATATGGAGGGGACCTGCTGTAACTGCGACCACGTCGAGGTGATATGCTGCGGCGACGTGGAGATCTTTTTCCTCGGGGGCTGTAACTCCTATCAGAAGGCACAAATTTAACCAAGCAGCAAAAATAAGAACAAATCAAATAGGGAACCAACATACTGAAATTTAACTAAAATCATCACATATTACAAAGTCAAATTCTTAGAACAGAGTTCAGCACTACCCAATATAAATCACAAACGCATCTCCAAGTACTAAGTGACAATAGGAGGAATTATATATAAGTAGAAAATATGAAAATAAAGTTTGACTCCACAGGAGAAGGAAAAAAATAAGTTTCAAATGCCAGTCACTGAAGAACATTAAAACTTAAAAAAACATTATGAAATACCAATGCAGTGAGAAGATAAACAAAAACCAAACCAGAAGCAACCACCCAATCCACAAGATTTATGTGACATTAAAGGAACTCCATAAAAAAAAAGTGCACGTGTCAGAGAACAAGATAAGAGTGAGAGAGAACACAAAAAAAAAATTTCTATGAAAGTCTCCTGAAGCTAATGCCAACAATCAAATGAGCATGAATTGCAAAAATTTCTATACAAGCGTGACCCATAAGCCATGGCATAAAAAGAAATTGCCCCTAAAACACACCTGCGCCCATACCCATAACTTGGACTCCGACGGTGTCGAGGGCTAGGGCTACGACGACGTCCACTTCCCAAGCCACGTGAACCAATGCGCAAGCGACACTCACGAGCAAAATGACCAGGCTCTCCACACTCATAACACTTCAAGTCATCGCCTCCACCACGGCCACGTCCACCACCACGACCTCCACCACCCTTAGAATTATGAGAAAGCTCCACACGCCAACCATTCTTCCCTGTCAAATGAACTTGCTTCTCAGTAGAAGCCTCGAGAGTTTATAAAGCATGATAGAGGAAACGTTGATCTTCAAATTAATTGGCGAAAAGACTGCCCATCAAAATCTAGATATATAGGAAGAAACTCATAATAAGCACAAACCAGAAACTCATGGCCCTAAACAAAAACCCAGTCAAATTTCTAATCAGCGTACTTTTCAAGCAATAGTATGAAATCTTAAACATACTGACCATCCAATGCACGAATTGCATCTACTGCGTCTCTGCGATCATCAAACTCGACAAATGCATATCCTGGTGGCCTTCGAGCAACCCATACACTGCATGACGTACATATTAAAACATAAATTAACAGACTAAACACACACACACAAACTCTATCAATTCCAAGAATCTGAAAACAAAAAAACAATATTGACAACGATTGACGACAATAAAGAAAGAAATTAGATCAGAAAGATACCTGCGAAGAACCCCAAACATACGAAATTCATCTTCAAGATCCCTTTCATTAACTCGAGGGTCCAAATTCCCAACGTAAACCCTAGACATTCTCTCAAACCACCTCCAACCTTTACAAGGAAAAAAAAAAATTAAAAATTAAAAATCGAAAGCTTAATGGCGTAAAGAGAAAAATGAAAAGGTGATAACTAAATTTAATAAGAAACGGATAGTTGAAGAATGGAACTAACTTTGAAGAAAAAAATTTCAAGGCGAGATCAAGCAACGATATTCCGAGAACTAATCGCAGACGTCTAAAACCCTAGAAAAATGTGCCTGATTTCCTTGTTAATTGAGACTTGTGGGACCGTGGCATAAGAAGAAAGCGCTCTATTGGGCTTTTATTAGGCCTTTTAGATAAAGAGTTTGGGCCTTAGTTTTTGACATTTTGGTAGCATCTAATCTTTTTTAAGCCATAATTTTAATATAAATTAAACTTACTTTTAAATAATATTTTGATTTATAAGGAGAAAGATTCAATTTAATTAAATGTTGCAATCTAAAATTTTTTATCAAAAAATAAATATCACAAACCAAGGAGCATAAAATCAGCTCTGTCAGCTCCAAATACAAAGATCATATATATATATAAAGATTAACGACATGAGTTTGCTCTTTTCTTTAAATTTCTAAATTTAAATATTGGAACCGTCTACAATAATAATATTTAAACTTTAGGTTTATAGAATATTTAATAGACCTTAGAAATTAGTTGAGGCACGTACAATCTGATCCAAACACTTTGGTTACAAAAAAAAAAAAAAAAAAACATGTGGATTAAAATATTTATTTTCAATAAATCTGTAAAAATAAATCAAATAAATTTTTACTAAATAATTATATTTAAACCTTAAATCTAAATGTGTTTACAAAAAATGGAAGGTCGAATCTTTCAACAGTAGATGACAAACATAAAATGGACAGATGGCACACATTAATAGACTAAAAATCAAAATACCATAAGCATTGATTGAATCCATGGACGCATACCATTGCCCATTGGCTATTCCTCACCATCCATTTATATTTTTGATTTATTAAGCAAAAATATTTAATGCATTTTTATTAGTTAGTATCTATCTACTCCATACGTTACGTACATGTTAATATAAACCATTTTTTTTTAATCAAAAATCGAGAATTAAAATATAATAAAAAGAAGATAAGAATTTCATACTTTATTTATTTTTATTTTATCTTCCTGACAATAACCGTGTCCTGTCCGTATGATTAAAGTTGTTCCGTTTTGTAATGAGCTCAGTTCCAAGTTCCAACCTCCACATGCAATCTCATTGTCCAAACAATAATAGATTTCAATTACTTCAAAACTTTGTCAACCGTTAATCACTTTCTTACCATATAAGAAAGATACAAATCTGGTAATATGAAAAGTTTGGAGATTTTTGAGTATTCCGTTGACTGAGAAGTGAAGAGTTGCAGTTGAAGCAAAAGGGTTTTTTTGTTTTGGAAGGAAGATGGAAGAAGAAGATAAGATTGAAGAAGGCAGTGTGAGATTGTTGGGTTGTAACAGTGGTGGTGAGTCGAGATGGGTTGATGGGAGTGAAGTGGAGTCAGAGTCACCACCGTGGTCTGTGCTGCAACCAGACGGTGGATCAGGAGATGGGTATGGATCCATGAGGAGGCGCCTTGCGAAGAGGCCCAACAGATTGGATTCTTTGGATGTTGAAGCCATGGAGATTGCTTCTGCGCATGGCTACCACTCTAAAGTAATGAGCTTTCCATCACTTATCTGAATTTCTTTATCGTATTGAATATTCAATCCTAAGTTTTTTGTGAAATTGAGAAAACTTGTGATTGTTAAGTTCATAGTACTTAAATTTTGAAGAATACAATGGAGTTTATACCTCTTGTCTTATCTTAATAGGACGGTCATTTTGAATATGGGATTGGTATAGACCCCAATCTTACTGGAAAGAGGATGAATATTGATTGTTGACATTATTAACTCCTTGCAAGCTTATTTTTGATATACTCTTTGGTAAAATGAAAAGTTAAAAAAAGAAGAAGCAGCATCCGATAGTTATTTAATAAAACTGCAAAAGTATATTTAATTCTAATTGTTTCGAGAAAGAGAAGAAGAATATTGTGTATTCTTCTAAATTCTTAATTCTGTATTTGAAAACATCTATTGACTGGTTTTTGAGTTAACACTAATCTTGGAAAAGAATGTGTTTTCCATATTTTGTTTTTTGAGTACTGCTGGAAGGTGTTTCTTGTCTGTTGTTGGGTGTGTGCAATGAAAAAAGTTATTTCTGAAAATCTAGCTAAATGGCATAAATTGTTACTCTATGATGGATATTCAGTGCTGACCGTATTTTGTGTTTAAGAGTTCCGAAGACATGTAAGAGGGCTTGGCAGTGTAAGAATGAGCAGTCAATCTGGCCTAGCATTCACAGGTTGTTGAATTTATGACTATGTATAATGGGCTACAATCTCCGTTATTGGTTGGTTTAGGCAGTTGAAATGGAGAGATGTCTTGTATTTAGATGTTCATATGTTCATATGCATACTCACAACTCATTTCAGATATGTCACCAGAAGTTGTTTTGCTTGGTCCTGGTATGAAAGGGTTTACATGCCAAATAAGTATACATCTTTTTTGTTTCTGAACTTCTGCACTTGAATGGGTCAGGATTCTTCAAATTGGCACATTATTGCTTTAGCATTTCAAACACTTGGTGTGGTGTATGGTGACATGGGCACAAGCCCTTTATATGTCTTCAGTGATGTATTCAGAAAAGTGCCCATCGAGTCAGAAGTCGATATCTTGGGGGCCTTATCTCTAGTGATGTACACAATTACTCTTATTCCTTTAGCAAAATACGTTTTTGTGGTGCTCAAAGCCAATGATAATGGAGAAGGTAAGAGCTTCTGGTTGTAGTGATTTTGTTCTTGCCTTATTTGCTAATTATCTTATTAAACATATTTTTGTTAACAAATGAGTAATTCCATTTTCAGGAGGGACATTTGCTCTGTACTCACTGATTTGCAGGTATGCCAAGGTCAGTATGCTGCCAAATCGTCAGACAGCTGATGAACAGATATCAAGTTTTAAGCTTAAACTGCCCACCCCGGAACTGGAAAGGGCTTTAAATATAAAAGAGACTTTGGAAAGCAGATCTTCCTTGAAAACCATTCTATTGCTTTTGGTTCTGATGGGAACTTCCATGATTATAGGAGATGGAATTCTTACTCCTGCAATTTCAGGTACATAGATTCATATAATGTGTCATATTAATTTTTTGGAATAATGCCAATATTTCTAATGTTCTATACTTGCCACTGTCAGGAAGAACTAGTTTTTACTTGATACAATGACTTGGAAGGTTAAATCTGTTGCAATTGCAATAATATTTGGTTTTATCATCTTGTTTAATTATGAGTCACGGAGGAACTTCTAACCTACATTTGGCTTATTAATTGGGCTGTTATGCATTGGCTATGGTTTGACATCCATTTCTGGGATTAGATTAAATCCTGAGATCTCCTGGGCTGCTAACCTTATCATTCCATGCTCAATGAATTTGTTTACTTGTCTTGTCTTTGTGATGATTGTGAGGGAATTAACTTTAGGCCTATAGCTTGTTTTTTTTTTTTTTTTACCTTCCCACCCACGCAGTTTATGCAATATAAACCTCCCTTCTGTACTCCCTCTCCCCTCCTTTCTCTTTTCTGCTTTGCTCTGTTCTTATGTAATTTTCTAGAGGTTTTCGCTGGCTTCCCAACATATTGAGTAATGTGTGTTTAGGTACAAATATACACTCATTCCTATATCTTATCAGTATATTTGAATAAGTGTTCAGTCTTGAGAATATAGAGGTTAATAATGCTTTTTAGTGTTTGTTTTGAGTCACCTGTTGATTTTTTGTTGGACCAATATCTTTCACTTCACATGATAAGAGTGCTTACACTTTTAATAGGGGTGCAAGTCACCTTTGCAGATGGGGAATCATACTTATGGAAAAACCACATACTTTCTCATGCATATTATCATTTTTTAATTGTTCTTTTTCTTCTTCTTGATAGAGCCTGCTGCGTTAACCAAGCACCTCATTCTATTTTGGACAAAGACTTTTTACTTAATTGAGTTAACTATTGGAAATTTAAGTCCTCTATTGTTTTCCTTTTAAAGTGGAATGCCAGTGAAGGGTGATACCTCTCCTGAGTAATGTGCATTAGTTTTTGGGTATGAGATGTGTGTTAATATAAATTGACTGAGATTACCCTAGCTTAAGATTATGATTTCTTCTTTTTGTTGCAGTGATGTCCGCCGTGAGTGGTCTACATGGTGAAATACGAGGAATTGATACAAGTGGGTAATCTTTCTTTTCTTTCGACTCATCCAGGGGCATTTATGGTTTCTTTGATTGTCGAGATCAACCGGGAGCATTTTACCACTCCCACTGCCAAAATAGTTCAATCAAAAATAAAAATGAACTGAAACCTGCTAAATGATATAATTAGTCTAATTACTTTCACCTTGTATTACATGATTGTTATATTTGATAACAGCCATCCTGTATCAACATCATCAGCTACCATGTAGGGTTCTGGAAAATCAATAACAACATTTTAAACAAGATGGCCTTTAATGAGATTAATCTATGTGCAGATTTTGTTGTCCTTGTTTCAATCATACTCCTTGTGGGATTGTTCAGCATACAGCAGTTTGGGACTGGAAAAGTGGGTTTCATGTTTGCTCCTATAATTGCTTTGTGGTTCTTCTCATTGGGATCTATTGGTTTTTACAACATAGTGAAGTATGATCTTACCGTCGTAAGGGCATTCAATCCAGCTTATATCTATCTCTTTTTCAAGAAGAACAGCAAATATGCTTGGTCAGCTCTTGGTGGCTGCGTGCTGTGCATTACAGGTACGTTTTGCTTTTAAAGATTGGGTACTGCTGGTGGATTGACAATATTACTTGATATCTTTTGTAAAGATTTTTCAATGATAATCATCTGGCTACTTGGGTAGGGTAGACCATTTTATTCTTTTAGTGTTTGTTACCCCTTCTGTTGTTTCTAGGGTATTACTGAAAATACCGAAGCTACTCATAATAGACTATGCAGACCTGCATTTGCAGGAAGCATTTAGATGTTTTGTTAAATCCATTGTTGTAGCCCAAGTATTATAGCTTCATTCTTTGTTTGAAAGTAAGAATTTCATACTTTATTTATTTTTATTTTATCTTCCTGACAATAACCGTGTCCTGTCCGTATGATTGAAGTTGTTCCGTTTGGTAATGAGCTCAGTTCCAAGTTCCAACCTCCACATGCAATCTCATTGTTCAAACAATAATAGATTTCAATTACTTCAAAACTTTTTCAACCGTTAATCACTTTCTTACCATATAAGAAAGATACAAATCTGGTAATATGAAAAGTTTGGAGATTTTTGAGTATTCCGTTGACTGAGAAGTGAAGAGTTGCAGTTGAAGCAAAAGGGTTTTTTTGTTTTGGAAGGAAGATGGAAGAAGAAGATAAGATTGAAGAAGGCAGTGTGAGATTGTTGGGTTGTAACAGTGGTGGTGAGTCGAGATGGGTTGATGGGAGTGAAGTGGAGTCAGAGTCACCACCGTGGTCTGTGCTGCAACCAGACGGTGGATCAGGAGATGGGTATGGATCCATGAGGAGGCGCCTTGCGAAGAGGCCCAACAGATTGGATTCTTTGGATGTTGAAGCCATGGAGATTGCTTCTGCGCATGGCTACCACTCTAAAGTAATGAGCTTTCCATCACTTATCTGAATTTCTTTATCGTATTGAATATTCAATCCTAAGTTTTTTGTGAAATTGAGAAAACTTGTGATTGTTAAGTTCATAGTACTTAAATTTTGAAGAATACAATGGAGTTTATACCTCTTGTCTTATCTTAATAGGACGGTCATTTTGAATATGGGATTGGTATAGACCCCAATCTTACTGGAAAGAGGATGAATATTGATTGTTGACATTATTAACTCCTTGCAAGCTTATTTTTGATATACTCTTTGGTAAAATGAAAAGTTAAAAAAAGAAGAAGCAGCATCCGATAGTTATTTAATAAAACTGCAAAAGTATATTTAATTCTAATTGTTTCGAGAAAGAGAAGAAGAATATTGTGTATTCTTCTAAATTCTTAATTCTGTATTTGAAAACATCTATTGACTGGTTTTTGAGTTAACACTAATCTTGGAAAAGAATGTGTTTTCCATATTTTGTTTTTTGAGTACTGCTGGAAGGTGTTTCTTGTCTGTTGTTGGGTGTGTGCAATGAAAAAAGTTATTTCTGAAAATCTAGCTAAATGGCATAAATTGTTACTCTATGATGGATATTCAGTGCTGACCGTATTTTGTGTTTAAGAGTTCCGAAGACATGTAAGAGGGCTTGGCAGTGTAAGAATGAGCAGTCAATCTGGCCTAGCATTCACAGGTTGTTGAATTTATGACTATGTATAATGGGCTACAATCTCCGTTATTGGTTGGTTTAGGCAGTTGAAATGGAGAGATGTCTTGTATTTAGATGTTCATATGTTCATATGCATACTCACAACTCATTTCAGATATGTCACCAGAAGTTGTTTTGCTTGGTCCTGGTATGAAAGGGTTTACATGCCAAATAAGTATACATCTTTTTTGTTTCTGAACTTCTGCACTTGAATGGGTCAGGATTCTTCAAATTGGCACATTATTGCTTTAGCATTTCAAACACTTGGTGTGGTGTATGGTGACATGGGCACAAGCCCTTTATATGTCTTCAGTGATGTATTCAGAAAAGTGCCCATCGAGTCAGAAGTCGATATCTTGGGGGCCTTATCTCTAGTGATGTACACAATTACTCTTATTCCTTTAGCAAAATACGTTTTTGTGGTGCTCAAAGCCAATGATAATGGAGAAGGTAAGAGCTTCTGGTTGTAGTGATTTTGTTCTTGCCTTATTTGCTAATTATCTTATTAAACATATTTTTGTTAACAAATGAGTAATTCCATTTTCAGGAGGGACATTTGCTCTGTACTCACTGATTTGCAGGTATGCCAAGGTCAGTATGCTGCCAAATCGTCAGACAGCTGATGAACAGATATCAAGTTTTAAGCTTAAACTGCCCACCCCGGAACTGGAAAGGGCTTTAAATATAAAAGAGACTTTGGAAAGCAGATCTTCCTTGAAAACCATTCTATTGCTTTTGGTTCTGATGGGAACTTCCATGATTATAGGAGATGGAATTCTTACTCCTGCAATTTCAGGTACATAGATTCATATAATGTGTCATATTAATTTTTTGGAATAATGCCAATATTTCTAATGTTCTATACTTGCCACTGTCAGGAAGAACTAGTTTTTACTTGATACAATGACTTGGAAGGTTAAATCTGTTGCAATTGCAATAATATTTGGTTTTATCATCTTGTTTAATTATGAGTCACGGAGGAACTTCTAACCTACATTTGGCTTATTAATTGGGCTGTTATGCATTGGCTATGGTTTGACATCCATTTCTGGGATTAGATTAAATCCTGAGATCTCCTGGGCTGCTAACCTTATCATTCCATGCTCAATGAATTTGTTTACTTGTCTTGTCTTTGTGATGATTGTGAGGGAATTAACTTTAGGCCTATAGCTTGTTTTTTTTTTTTTTTTACCTTCCCACCCACGCAGTTTATGCAATATAAACCTCCCTTCTGTACTCCCTCTCCCCTCCTTTCTCTTTTCTGCTTTGCTCTGTTCTTATGTAATTTTCTAGAGGTTTTCGCTGGCTTCCCAACATATTGAGTAATGTGTGTTTAGGTACAAATATACACTCATTCCTATATCTTATCAGTATATTTGAATAAGTGTTCAGTCTTGAGAATATAGAGGTTAATAATGCTTTTTAGTGTTTGTTTTGAGTCACCTGTTGATTTTTTGTTGGACCAATATCTTTCACTTCACATGATAAGAGTGCTTACACTTTTAATAGGGGTGCAAGTCACCTTTGCAGATGGGGAATCATACTTATGGAAAAACCACATACTTTCTCATGCATATTATCATTTTTTAATTGTTCTTTTTCTTCTTCTTGATAGAGCCTGCTGCGTTAACCAAGCACCTCATTCTATTTTGGACAAAGACTTTTTACTTAATTGAGTTAACTATTGGAAATTTAAGTCCTCTATTGTTTTCCTTTTAAAGTGGAATGCCAGTGAAGGGTGATACCTCTCCTGAGTAATGTGCATTAGTTTTTGGGTATGAGATGTGTGTTAATATAAATTGACTGAGATTACCCTAGCTTAAGATTATGATTTCTTCTTTTTGTTGCAGTGATGTCCGCCGTGAGTGGTCTACATGGTGAAATACGAGGAATTGATACAAGTGGGTAATCTTTCTTTTCTTTCGACTCATCCAGGGGCATTTATGGTTTCTTTGATTGTCGAGATCAACCGGGAGCATTTTACCACTCCCACTGCCAAAATAGTTCAATCAAAAATAAAAATGAACTGAAACCTGCTAAATGATATAATTAGTCTAATTACTTTCACCTTGTATTACATGATTGTTATATTTGATAACAGCCATCCTGTATCAACATCATCAGCTACCATGTAGGGTTCTGGAAAATCAATAACAACATTTTAAACAAGATGGCCTTTAATGAGATTAATCTATGTGCAGATTTTGTTGTCCTTGTTTCAATCATACTCCTTGTGGGATTGTTCAGCATACAGCAGTTTGGGACTGGAAAAGTGGGTTTCATGTTTGCTCCTATAATTGCTTTGTGGTTCTTCTCATTGGGATCTATTGGTTTTTACAACATAGTGAAGTATGATCTTACCGTCGTAAGGGCATTCAATCCAGCTTATATCTATCTCTTTTTCAAGAAGAACAGCAAATATGCTTGGTCAGCTCTTGGTGGCTGCGTGCTGTGCATTACAGGTACGTTTTGCTTTTAAAGATTGGGTACTGCTGGTGGATTGACAATATTACTTGATATCTTTTGTAAAGATTTTTCAATGATAATCATCTGGCTACTTGGGTAGGGTAGACCATTTTATTCTTTTAGTGTTTGTTACCCCTTCTGTTGTTTCTAGGGTATTACTGAAAATACCGAAGCTACTCATAATAGACTATGCAGACCTGCATTTGCAGGAAGCATTTAGATGTTTTGTTAAATCCATTGTTGTAGCCCAAGTATTATAGCTTCATTCTTTGTTTGAAAGTTTTATAAGAGTATGCCATCTTTCTGAAAAATTGAGGGTTGCCTGCAGAATTTTAGAAAAGGTCCCCCGTTTAATTCTATAACTTGTTTTATATGTCATTTCAGGAGCTGAAGCAATGTTTGCTGATCTAGGCCATTTCTCAGTACGATCCATACAGGTTTTGTTCCCACATTGCCTCAACCCTGTTTCCGATGGATTTTCTTTACTAAGAGCTTTATGTAATTATTCTACATTATTTGTGCAGATTGCTTTTACCTGTGTTGTATTCCCCTGTCTCCTCTTAGCTTATATGGGCCAAGCTGCATATCTCATGAAATACCCTAATTCTGCTGAAAGAATATTCTATGATTCTGTACCAGGTGATCTCTGCCAAACTGCTTCAGTTGTTTCTGATCATAATATAAAAATCACATAGATTAAGTGCTGATTTTGACACTTTTGAGTTCCTACCTTTTGGAGTAAACAGATAGTCTTTTCTGGCCAGTCTTCATAATAGCCACAGTTGCTGCCATGATTGCCAGCCAAGCAATGATATCTGCTACATTCTCATGTGTCAAGCAATCAATGGCTCTTGGATGCTTCCCAAGGATGAAGATAGTTCACACCTCAAAGAAGCTAATGGGTCAAATTTATGTCCCCGTAATCAATTGGTTTTTAATGATCATGTGCATCATTGTAGTTTCTATTTTCCGGAGTACTACAGATATCGCCAATGCATATGGTTAAGCTTCCTTCTCTTGCAATACCTATTTTAAAATCCATTTCTTTGTATATATTTACTTTTGGGTGCTTTCAGAAGATATTTTAGGTTTTAAAGTTGTATGCTCAGACATTTGATGCACCCAAATCTTTTCACACAGAGCTGATTTACTTATAAATATTATGAGTATGGCAAACAAGGTGTATACAACATCTAAAAAGTCTGGAGGCTTTCTATGCTTACCAAACAAATTGGTTTATGCAAATTACTCCACCGACTTGTAATAGTTTTATATGATAATTCGAACTTCTGTCCTTTATTGTTTGTGTTTGAGCTCCAAAAGATGTTTTAACTTTTTTTCTGTGAGACTGTCCATTGCTTGTATTACTGAGTGAAGTTCATAAAGTCGCTGCTGGCAAATGCTTTCCCTAGAGCCAAAATTGTTGCTCTGACGGTGAGCTACGCTAGGGATGTTCAAATCTTTTACCACTAATTATGCTGATATGTTAATGAGTTGGGAATTGAACTACCACTTACCAGTACTAATACTACGGTGACTTTCTGCTGATGCAATTCAAATTTTTATTGCAGGCATAGCTGAAGTTGGTGTCATGATAGTGACCACCACCTTGGTGACAATTGTGATGCTTCTAATCTGGCAGACCAACTTAATTCTGGTGTTGTGTTTCCCACTTGTATTTGGTACAATAGAGCTTATCTATTTGTCCGCAGTTCTATCAAAAATCAAAGAGGGTGGTTGGCTTCCCCTTGTTTTTGCTTCTTGCTTTCTCTGTGTGATGTACATTTGGAACTATGGTAGTGTGTTGAAATACCAGAGTGAGGTCAGGGAAAAGATATCAATGGACTTGTTGCTTGATCTTGGCTCCACCCTTGGAACTGCAAGAGTCCCAGGTATTGGGCTGCTATATAACGAGCTTGTCCAAGGTATTCCCTCAATTTTTGGGCAGTTCTTGCTTAGCCTCCCAGCTATCCACTCTACTATAGTGTTTGTTTGTATCAAATATGTCCCAGTCCCAGTGGTGCCTCTTGAGGAAAGGTTTCTGTTTCGAAGAGTTGGCCCAAAAGACTACCATATGTTCCGCTGTGTAGCTAGATATGGTTACAAAGATGTCCGGAAGGAAGATCACCATGCATTTGAGCAACTTTTAGTTCAAAGTCTCGAGAAGTTTCTAAGAAGAGAGGCTCAAGATCTGGCCCTGGAGAGAAATTTATTTGAGCCAGACTTGGACAGTGCTTCTGTGAGCTCGATGGATCATGAAGTACTGGGTGGTTATGGGAATGAGGAGCTTGGGATTCCACTGATGCATGATAGGAGATCCGAAGCAGGAACTTATGCCTCATCAGATATTGTCTCAGAATTACCATCTAGTGTCATGCCTTCAGAAGAAGACCCGAGTTTAGAATATGAGCTTTCAGCTCTTCGAGAAGCAATGGATTCGGGATTTACATATTTGCTTGCACATGGTGATGTGAGAGCGAAAAAGAACTCATTTTTCTTCAAGAAACTAGTTATAAACTACTTCTACGCATTTTTAAGAAGGAACTGCAGAGCAGGTGCTGCAAATATGAGTGTACCTCACATGAATATCCTGCAAGTTGGGATGACATATATGGTCTAAAACTCTTGATTTGTTTGCCATCTGATGGAATCTCTCCATCTTATTGATATATTCATTACATTGGCTGCCTATTTGAAGCTCTACGTTGAGTTCTTGATCAATTTTAAAGGTGGAAAAAAGGTAGGAACAGTAAATATTTGCACCTTAATACCGGCTTCCTGCCACAAATTATTCGAGTACATATAAACATTAACTCACTCACTCCTTGGATCATCCATTAATCTGCAATTATCATATGCATGATCGTTGAAATTATTTTTACTTCAGATTTTGTTTGGTATGCTTATTGAATCAAAGACTGGAACTAGTAGTGGTATGGCCATTCTAGAACATAATGTGAGTGTATGGTGGTGATAAATTTTTAATACAAGGACTAATTTTTCCAGCTTTCGTATCTGAACCTGTGTTTGAAAATTGTGGTGGGGAAGCAGTTAGCTTTTGGGTGCGTTTTTTCTTAGTGTGGGTTTGTAAAGCAAGAAGAAAAAGCAGTGATTACTTGTTTAATTCAAAAAGAAATCCTTGAAAGATTTATTTCTTTTGACTGTTATTTTCCCCTAAAAATTTCTTTCTCACTTTGAGGCTTTAAAGTCGGTAATATTATAATTCAGAAAGCAAAGCAGAAATAACATTGGGCTTACTTTACTTTTCCCACAGGGACTGGATTCATTTAATAATATCAAAAGACTTATAAAGCTGCCTTTTCTCATAAAATATCTGCAACTTCAACTAGATGTAATAGATTTTTTGATGTCGTTATCATGGCCATGGGGACATTTAGATGCCATCAATAATAATATAGTATCAAATTCCTCGGTTTCTTCATATGTACAAAAAATACTACAATTAATGTCACCCTCCTTATTGTTATATCTATATCAGTTAAAAATATAGGTTGGATTTTAACAATGCATAGACATTTATTATTATATTTATATAAGATAAACATAGGTTGGATCTTCGACTTATAACGACGGGTAAATAACATTACCTAATAGATTAGTCTTTTGGATAATCGGCAAAACTTTGATATACTTAATATTGGGTACCTATCTTCATTTGATGCTAGATCACTTAGTTTTTAACAGTTATAATGTTATGGGATTATATCCCATGTGAGATTTAGTATGAAATGTTAGGTGATTATGAATTGTAAAATCAATGAAGTAGACCATATTTTTTAATGGCAAGTAGATATGAATTCTGTTGTGTTATTGGTGAACTGGCCAGAAGAATATAGGGGATATTATTCAAATATTCTCTTATTTATTCAACAACCTCATATAATAAATTCAATTAATAACACAAGGGTAGCCCCGGCTGAAGTGTTTATATATTTGTCTTTTGCCTCCCTTGAATGAACATCCCCATTCAACAATGTGATAAAAACTAGGTGTCTTGAACTTAATAAAATTAAGAAGCTAAAACATAGAAGTCTCTTCTCCAAGGATGGGTTTAAAATGAGAGCAAACAACTTTTTCCCACCTAAGTAATAGTTTAATGACATTTTCTTACTAGACTTTTAGAATACCACTTTATTATCTAAATTTATATTCCATTTTTAATTTTGGCATTATTGCAGTCCCACACCACCAACATTCTCTTCCTCGATCATCACTCACCAAAACCCTCAAACCCTATTCTCGCCGACTTCGTCAATCGTTGACAATCGAGCGATTAGGGTTTACGTAGCTGTCCCTCTCAAGTCAAATTCCAATCAATCTCAACCATCAAAATCCAACATTTCACCACCAAAAGACTTATCGGCCCCCCGTCTTCAAAAGCCCTAACAGCCTATAACAAGTTTGCTCTCTATTCGCTGTCGAAATATAAATTCGAATAATAAAATGGTATTTTAAAAGTTGCTGGGGAAAAAGTGTCATTAAACCATTATTTTGGTGAGAAAAAGTGGTTAACTCTTAGGGTACGTCTAATTCAAGGAATGTTGAATTACTGGAAACTTAGATTACCTTGAAGATTACTTGGAATCTTTAGGAAAATGTATTTGGTTAGTTAAAATAAATTGGTGGGTATATTATTTAAATTACTGAATTGTCATTTAATTAAATATTATTATTTAATATTGTTATTTAGATTATTATTTGGATTATTTATAACCCCCTTACATTTAAAAACTTAGCAAAAACAACCTCATAATAAAAGTTTGGGAAATCAACAATGCACCTCCACCAACCAAGCCACTGCCGGCCACCGACAGCCGGCAATCTAACGGCGCATGGAAGGCAGGAAATGGCCAGATCATGACAGATATGGCCGTGGCCATTAACTGCCATCCAACGACTAGATTGACGGATCTGGCCGAAAACGATTGGATTAGATTTGGTCATCAATGGCCAAATCGATGGCGATTAACGGCCACGTCTGGATCTGGCCGGAAATGACCAAATTTGATTTGGCCATTTTTTGGCCAAATATGCCACGATCTGGCCATATCGATGGAGACGGTTGGTCGCCGGCAGCAACAGGTGAGTAGGGGTGGTGGCTTGGGTGAGCTGCAATTTGTTTTGAATTCAAGGGTTATTTTGTCCAAAAATATAATTAATTGGGGTGAAATAGTAAAACCATATTCATGTAAATTAATTTAAAAATAAGCGTATTATTGTCTTAAAATTTTATTAATAAAGAATAGAATTGTAACAAAAAAAAAAAAAAAAAGATTATTTTAGTAATCTTACAATACCTAAGAAAATGAAAGTAATTAAATTACCTCCAATATTATTAGTAGTAACTATTATTAGTATTTGAAGATTATCAAAACATTATATTACTTGACAACGAACGTGATTATTAAGTAATATAAGATGAGATAACCCTAATCAAACACCAGGTTATGAAATTATGACACATAAGCCACAGGTGGCATTGCCATTGAGTGTGTTGAAGTTGGGGCATGGGTCCATTTGAGAAGTGTGGCGTTGACATCATCAGAGGTGACGGCTACTACTTTTATACGTAATTAATTGTATTGTTTGTATGACATGTAGGCTTTCCATTTAACCTAAATACCTAATTGAGATTGAGTTGAGTGGAGCATGGTCTTCCAATTCTCTGTGAATCAATACGTGGATGTAGTTGCTTTCTCAAGTGAATTGATTAAGGATAAGCGTGTTTGTTTTAGGAACTTAAATACCTAACAATACATTACATCATTCCTGCACTTCCCACATTAATTAAATCATCTTATCTCATGCTTAACCTAATCAACTGCTTTAACCATTTTATATCCACATTAATTATGATTTAATTTCGTGATTTTGGTTTGACTAAAATCACATCCATGCATGAAACCACCAGCTGCCTTCACAAAACATATCAACGACAATTAAAGTACAAGCAACCAACCGCCATAACTCTTTTTTCCAATTAAAATGGATGAAATTCATTCATAGAAGCCTCTAGATAATCGGTGTGCTTCCTCACATTCTCATTTTTCATCACTCATGACAACTGCCCTCAGAATAAAAAAGAATATCCCTTGCATGCCAATGATTAAGTAATTACTCTAATTATATATTTGTCAGCCGCGATAAAAGCTCAACGCAGCTCAGAGATTTTTTTTTGGCTGAGCTCGAGCTTGTTAGATTTCGGTTCACAATCAGGAGCTTGAAAGCTTGATGGGAAAAGTGAAAAAAATGGAGAAATGAAAGTTTTTTTTCCTTTTTTTTTTTTTTTTTTTTTATGAGCTTGAGCTTGAATTCTCCAGCTCGTCAACTTAAGCGCGAGTTGTAGCAAACGAGTCGAGCTTGATTAACCCAAAACTCGACTCAATTCGACTCGTTTACACCCTCTTAGCCGAAAGTATTAGAGTATAAAATAATTTGGTAAAAGGAGAAACGCATGGACGCTGTGGTATAGTCAACTCATCAACATCAATGAAATTACTACTACCACCATCACTTTATATAAAGTTTCAATTATATGAACCCACAATGCACTTATCAACCCTTTTTCTTTACTCTTATTCACAATATACTATCACCTTTATAACCACATAAATTGATCATCAAATTATGTATAGCTTTTATCATTATAATTTTATTTTATATATATATATAGCTCAAAAATGTTGTTTCCAATATATGATATAATTAATAATAGTTTAAAAAGGCCTTACAATCTCCATGAATTCCGAAGCATATGTTTCCTTTATTTAACCAACTATTAGTTTTTGAGATTAACAGTTGTTAATAATTAACCCAAAATCAATCCATCACTTTCACTTACCATCTCAATTCTCATCCCACTGACTCTGTAATTCAACTCAACTCAACTCAGTTATCATTTGCAGTGGTGGACTGGTGGTGAATAAACAACGTCAACTCTCTCTTTCATTTTAAATATTCTATCTTTTGTTTTTGTGTTTTTTCTTATTACCATTTCTAATTGTAAAAACAATAAAAAATCGAACACCCCTATTCATCAACTCTCTTCACACTCCAAATGCCTCACGCAAATTTTTTTTTTCTCTTATTTTAGTCTTCTCGTTTTAAATAAACAGTACCCATCACCTGGGCTTTTTTTTTTTGGTTTTCGAGTTTGTCTTGCCGTGTCTGTGTCTCTATTAAGGTTTGTTCAACTGCTGTCTACATTGACTCTTCTTATTCATTAATAAAATAAACAATCTTTAATTCAAATATTTAGTTTTTGTTTTTTTAGTGTTTTCCTACAAGGGCTACATGGGGAGGGTGTTTGTGCAGATCACTACTCTCCATTTCTCAGCAAAAATGAATCTTTTCAGCTTTTGAGATTGCCAATGATGGATCTGGAAATCGGGGTCTATCAAAATATTGTTAAGGTGAGATGTTCTGGACTGATTCTTCATTTTTGAAATAACCCCATTTCATTCTTTTTTGCATCATTGATTTTCATACGGGTTGTTTCTATTTTATGATCAAAAAGTGTTTTTTTGTTGCAAAACTATTTCTTTTGTATGATCAATTTGTTGTCTTTGTTGCAAAATTATGCATTGATTTTTTATTTTTTTTTATAATAAGTTCTGTTTAGTTTTGTGATCAAATTGCTGTTCCTATTGCAGAAAGAATCATGGAGAACATTGTTAACATTA